AAAAATGCAACATGTCGCTTCTCATAATATCTTTGAGTTTAAAACTTTCAACCATGAAACAACAATAAAACACATTATTTGGATAGAGCACAACAGCTTATTGTATAAATCGTAAAAGGCATTAATTATCATGTACGCGCAAAGGGCATGCTTTGTATTAACCAAATTTGTGATTGGGTCGATACCAATAGCAACAAAGAGCGCTTAATTTAATTTGCTGTGTGTTCTACTTTTCAAAGGCCCTAAATTTGTATTTAGCAAAGATTAGAAGTCAATTCTAATAAAACAGTAGGTGATTTGCTCACATTTTTACTATTTTCCGCAATTTTATTAGAAATTATTTATAGTTTTAAAAAGCATGAATGGTTATTTTATGGTAAGAATTTTAATGCTAAAACATAAATTGGCTTATGTTTGTGAATTTAAAAAAAAAATGTTCTTTGTTACAAATAATAATGCTTAGTTGTCCGAAAATCTTGGAATTTAGTTGCCGAATCCCACACGTATATTCTAACATTTCGTCCTTGATTGGGCTTAACATCATAACGTCTGCAACATGCTGTATATGAGAACTGTTGATGATGTGCTCAGATGTGAGTCCAACAGGTGTGGTGGGTTAGTTTTTGAGTTTGTTAAGTATTTCAGCCCCTACAAGTAGAAGCTTCTTTAAACTCTTAAGAACTTCGCAAACTCTCTTACTTACGACTCTGACTATTATTTTATGTAGAATTCGATGGTTTCCCTACCTTGTCATAAACGTGACCTAATCTGTTGGTCTTTTGACTTTGCACTTCTAATGACCATTCTTGTAGTTCTTAACATGGAGGATAATGTGAAGAAACTCCGGACCGATGCAGCGTTTACCATGAAGAAACTGTACGAGCTTGAATGTTGTACCTCAGCAAACCCTCCAACTGAATGTATTTTCATCAACAAATACAAGATTCGGGGTCTTCTTGTTGGTTTGGCTGAACAGGCCAAGTCGCTTCTTTATACAGGCAGTCTTGACGCAGCGCTCATATGGGGTTTTTTCACAGCCAAGTTAGCGAATAATTACATTGAGACAGAGGAACCGCGTGCAGAAGCAAGAAAACGTCTCAAGGAAGTTGTCAAGTACATGAATAGCCGCACAGACGTGCCGGACAAGGAGGCCTTGATAAAATTTTCGGGTCTTTTGCAATACACGTACAACTCATTAGCCGTGGCCTCTGATCCGGTTGCACAAGATGGGCAAGAATCTGTGCTGTACTGGTTAGAGAAGGCTCAGAGTGCCTATAAGAAACACAAGGCAGTGTTTGGTGAATCAGAAGGTCCAGAATGCTGGGAATCTCTAGGCATTCCATTTTCACCCAGCCCACGTGATTATCTCATAAAGGAAGTAATGTTTGAAATCGGTTACACAACAACGCTACTGATGTTAGCACAAGTAAGTCAGACGTTACGTAGTTTACTTCAGTCACAAGACTTACTCAAACAATGGCGATAAACAAAAGTCAGCAGATTGTTGTCGTGAAACGTTGTGGCGACAGTTGCACTTCGGACCACTGGTTGACAAAATTCTGGCCATGTTTGGGGCTCTGAATCACGCCGAGGCGTGTTTACCGGTTATCGCGGACTGTGAGGAGTCGATTGCAGTGCCGCCTGTTGATTGGCTGGTTAATGCGCTGCATCGATTCGACCCAGTGGAATGGGCGAGAAATGCCTCGATGTTGAGCGAGTTCTACGCCGAGAAGGGAGAATTCACAAGCGCCTTGGAATGCCTCATGCTCTCTAAAACGTAGGCACCCACTCTACTCTCTCTGTGATGTTGATTATTTCGTGTTGTTTACCTGTCTCTATATACTTTGCTGTCACCTGGTCTCCCAACCTCCAACATCTCTTAGGAACGCAAGTGATTTTTTTTGGCTTAGTTTTTTCGTGATGTCTGTGGTTATGGAAAAGCCGGTAAATGCTCTGCGCTAGTCAGCTGTAATGCTGCAAATGACGCTGTCTTTCTCAAATAGCATTCTCTGCGATCGTCTGCAACCCGCAGAAGGCAGAGATGTGTCCGAGAGTTGTGCAGAGCTACGTGAAACAAAGATTTGGGCCGATGTTTCCCGATTAACAGCTGAATACTCCCTCCGTCTTTTGGAACAGGGAAGCAAAGTTGTGCTTGGTTCAAGTAAGTTTGAGACCCCGCCACCTTTTTAGGCAGACAATGAGAATTTTTCCATGTTAAACTATTAATCCTACTTAATTATATTCAGTAACCTTTAAAAATCACAATGGTTTATTGTTTAGGAAGCCTTCTGACCAATATAGGTGTTTCCTAGGATTCACTGCCGACTCAGCAACTGCGAATCAAGGCAGAAATGCACCAACATATGGCAAACTGTTCAACGAAGACACGAGTGCTGCGTTACTCGAGGCGTTTGGTAAAGACGCAGGAGATGTGGGTCTGGCGGAGATTATCGGCGTGCTGTCGAAACAGCCAGAAACCTACTCAGATGCAGCTTGTCTGTTTCGATGGACGTGCCGTTTGCTTTCCGAGGCGTCCAGTTATTATACTCTGGACGAACGCTGCACCGACGCCATTGAACTGATACGAGCTCACGCCAGAGCCTACGATTTCCTCGCCTCATTCGAGCCCGATCTTTCTAGGAGGGTACTGTGATTGTTTTTGGCCCCGCTGCTGACAAATAATTAAGTAGCAAGTTATAACTAGGAATCGCTAATCTCAGTAACACTGAATCTTTTTGCAGTTGGCTCTTCCGTTGTCTCACAAGTGGTGAATATGGGTTTGACTTTAGTATACATCTGGTGCAATAATTGGCCACATCCTAAACCCGTTGCGACATTCAATATTTTTTTCTACTTATTAGTTTTGAGTAGGTTATGCTTTTACCGAAATGCGTCAATCAATCATGTTTCCTAATTAAATATCTTTTTTGTTACATATCTTAGTGTTGTATGCAGAAGCGAAGGGTTGATTTGCTTGATGCCCTCCTGTCCAAGTTAAATCCTCAGTTCTACATGGTGGCTTGTCGTCAAATCATGTTTGAATGTGGTGACGCGCTGACCGCCCTTCGAGACCTTAACGAGATGAAATTAAAGGTTAGCACCCTACTTACTAGACATTAAGTAGTATGGCGAGTGACTACACATGAAATCGGATTAATGTCTCTAAAAAAACTTGTATTGGGGCTTTTTCAATCATTTTAATGAGACTAGCATTTCTGAGGGTTGTATCAAGTCCTGCTGATGGCCCAATGAGGTCTCAACAAGATGGAATGGAAAGTTATATTCCTGCTTACTACTAATTAAGTAGTTTGGCGAGTAAATTTATCTACCACAACTCATAGTGGACTCTTGCTGGTGCTCTATTAAGATATCGTGGTTTAGAGATGCTGTCTTTGATGCTGTTTTCAATTCCTAGAATTTCTCTGCGAAGCACAGCAAACCTGATTCGTCAGCAACCGCTGAAATGGAAAGGCAGGCAAAGAAGGTGAACGCACTGGCTCGCAGAGCGCTTGGCATGTTCGAGCGACTCCTGTCGTCTTTTAAAACGCCTGTTGATCAAACTGAGCCGGAATTCTACGAGGAAGAATGGCTCTACTCCGTTCTGGTTAAGTTACCGTTTATACACTGTTTACTTAATTAAAATGAGTAGTATGAATTTTATTCCATTGCCACCAGATGGCGCATTTCCACTCGGCCCGGTTGCAGTCGAAACTGCTGACAGGCAACGTCGCAAGCCGTGCACACACACTGAACCTGGCGCTGGACGAATACAGACAGGTGGTGGCGATTGCGGACAGGCACGCGGCGCTGTCCTACAAACTGCCACCGGAAGTGGACATCGCTAGGGAAATGATCCACCTTCTGCCCGCGCAGATGTCGAGGCTTCGCGCCGACGACTGAGTGATTGGGTCACCCCACCACCCTGTACATACACCCACTTGAAACGTGTTTTTTCTATGTAATTCGCGTAGACATTTCTAGTTCCGAATGAATGCGATTCTGCAACTGGCTGGGTTTCTGTCTTGCTTATTTCAAATGAGTATTTTGTTAAATTAAGGTCAAGGTCAGCTCAGGGTGAGGTTAATTTAGGCAGTAAGGTCAGCTGTCATTGCATGACCAATGACCGCGTCAATCGATATCTTTCGCTTATTACTGAACTGACAAACAGTGCATTTGATGGCATTGCATTTTATGCGGATTCAAACACGGAATCAACGTGTTGTGTTCTTGGTGCCGAAGTTGTGTCTAGTGAAACGCGTAATCATTGGTACAAACGTTTTGGAGGTGGCGATTGCGATGGACGTGACCAGCCGCGCCCCGAACAGCCTCGAAAGTTTGTAGATGCGGAATCGCAAGCCCTGCTGGATGAAGACTCAACGCGAACGCAACCAGAGCTTGCAGCAGCCCAAGTAGGAGTCACACAAACAGTTATATCTTAAGCGTTTACATCATCAAATGGGAAAAATTCAAAACATTGAAATTGGGTCCCCCCCACATGTGCTGACCGAACACAATAGCCTAGGTCAACGTTTGAACACATGGCCCTCTCTGCTGCCCGCCGGCAGCAAGCAGAGAATGGACGTCGTGTGGAACGTTGTGGCGAGTGATGAAATGTGCATTTTTAACGAGAATCTCGAATGTCAAAAGTCGTGGGTAGATTCCAAACAATGCGGTACATCGACGCCGAAACAGGACATCCGCTTGAAGAAGGTCCTCCCGTGTAGGTGGTGGAAGGGGGACATGAAGGGTGTACTTTATTACGAACTGCTGAAAACTAATCAGGCGGTGTGTGCGGAACGCTACAGGTGACAATCAAATAGACTGAGCGAAGAACGTGATCAGAAGGGTTTATTAATTGGGTGAGTGGCATACAAGTCACACTGCTGCTGCTGCTGCTGCTGCTGCTGCTGCTGCTGCTGCTGCTGCTGCTGCTGCTGCTGCTGCTGCTGCTGCTGCTGCTGCCTCATGACAACGCTCGACGACCTCGCGTTGGTCGCGCGGCACAGTAGACCCTCTTGTACTTGGGGTAGGAAGTCCTCCCACACGCGGCATCTTCGCCAGACATGGTCCCATTTGTTCTTGTGAATGCAGCAGCAGCATCAGCACGCCTTAGTGGGCGAACAGTTCCTAAAACGCTCAAGGACGATGTGCGTAAAGTCGTCGGTGACCTTATTGCCTCAGCGGGATTCGTATGTTACCTCAGAGATGGTACACGTTCGTGGAAAACAATGGAAAATATCTCCGTGATTAGGTTCGTTGTTCTGATTCCCTTATCTTCCACGGGTCCGACTCATGGGTGGTACTCAAGTGTGAACTGTGTTGTGACGCGGTGGTCTTTGTTTCAACACAAAAACAACATTTAAACAACTGACGGGGAGGTTCATCTTGAAGCATGGAATAGTGCGGACACGCACACCCACACAGAGACGACACTACGTATAAAGCAGGCGTGTGGTTTTCGTGTTAACTAAACCGCACCCGCTGATAAAACCAGGCAGATGATTCTGTGATGCTTGAGGCTGTGCAGCTTATGGAAAGGTAGACACACAAGTAAACACTTTCAAGTGGTTGCATTTTCTCACATTTAAAACACTGAAAAACCCGCGTCAAGCCCAGGTCGATTTAAACAAGTATCAAAGTACTAAGAATCACATTAGCACACACACGTTTGACCACGGAACCAACAGTGGACCAATGTACAATTAAAACCGGTGTACGCGAAAGGGATTAAAAGACGGCGGTATGTAGAATTGTTGCTCTCGACGTTGCTGCACGACCTGCGTGGTGACGCCTTCCATGGCGTTGGACGAGGGAACGACGCGGACAACGCTCTGCTCCTCCGACGCCGAGATGACGTAGCCACCGCCTCGCACTCTGCTGGCCTTCCGTGTGACCGTCCTGTTGGTCACCGACGACCCGGGAAGAGCGTGGAATGCGGGGAATTGTTGCGAGCGTGGCGCGTTCCACTCATAGGACACTACTTCAGGCTCCTCGTCGTCGTCGTTGTCGTCGTCGCTGATTGTAATGACCTCGGGTGCGTCAGCGGCTTCGGCGGTTTCAGCAGCTGGTGCGTCGTCAGCACACGAGGCGGTTTCTGGCCGGTCGTCCGCCGTATCGATCCGCGTCTCTGATGTGCAGGGAGGAGGTGACGTGTCGTTGGCAGGGGAGGAGGAGTCCTGCGGTGTCGGTGACGTCAGACGACCCAGCGGTTGAGACTTCGATGGAGAGCCCGAGCTGGCGGAGGTGGACGCGGACGTGAGCAAGTTCTTCTCGGTGAAGTACGGGGAGATGATGTTAGCGTCCAGGTGAGTCGTAGGAAGAGGAATCGCTTCTGCCACCTTCGCGGACCTCCCGATGCTTGCGTCACCGTCGTCTTCCTCGAAAACACCCACTTCAATAACATCCACCTCCTCCTCTTCCTCCTCATTCTTCACTGACGCTTGATTGCTATCATCGAGGCGTTCGGAGGAAGTTGAAGTGACGCGTTCAAGCAGATCGTCTTGCAGACGGGAGTACCTCGTCAAAATCTTCAATCAAACGAAAGATTCAGGGTTGCTTTAAAGCATCACGCTCCGAAGCATTCGAAGTGATGTCAAATCAATTTGGATCATGCAATTGTCAATTGGACCTAGACTGCAGCAATTGACAATTGCACGGTAAGCCAGCACAAACAGACTATGCTGGTAGTTTCATGGAATCACCGAGAGTGTTGGGTAGCTGGATGCACTTTGAGAAAGCTCATCACTGCATTCATATTTAGTAATTCGTGGAAATGATTCGAATTGAGCTGACCCAAGATCAATCTCACTAGTGAAAACCACTTTTACTGAGTGATTTTAAGCGTTTATGGGCTATTTGAAGGTTGCGTGTTCATATCACGTCGGGGTCACCAAATGTAGTGGCTTGTGTTCTAAGCACTACCTTACAACAATTTAGTTAACAGCCCGTAACAACCCGAGGACGGAGAGAAGAGGGGCGACAGTGGACACGCCCGTTTATTAGCGTCACGCCCGCCAATTGTGTGTGCATGAGTGAACGGATGACAGACAGCTGGTAACAGTAACCAATGAAAAGGGAATGAGTCATTGTCACCGTCAGGTCGGTAACCAGGGTTCACTCAGGCGCGATCGCTGTTAATCCGCTACAAACCCTCCCACGCCAAGACAAGGACAAGACCAGAGCTCGTGTAGAGAGCTTTAATCACGTCAGGCACGTGCGAAGTGCGCTGGTAAAAGTGAAACTAATTCAAGTCAAGTTCGACCTTGACCTGATAAAAAGCGTAATAAGACGTGTGTTAGTGAATTAGTGTAAATAGTGCCAGAAACTAACGACGAGCAATCGTGGGGAATCGTGGATCCCCGACACCCCTGGTGAGCGATACGAGGTCTGGCGTTGCCGTAGTGAAAGCCGAAACTCTTCAAATTGGTCAAATTTGCACGTTTTACTTGGACTTTAACATTGCCAGTTATTGACCGTGAGCGTGGAAGTAGATCGCGTTGCATTGTTCCCCTGCAACGCCATCGACAACTGCCACAGGATGCGACCAATTCTGGTCCATTACTTTCACACTTCCAGCTTTTTTTCTCAGCATTCAACAGCCTCAATCGGGATATGATGCAAGAAAGGCTCGTTTTGTTGACGGGAGAGGAGAAAGGTGGTTGTGGAATCACGGTACAGGACGCTTTCAATGACGAAAAGTAGTCGATTTGTGTTCAGTAGTAGTCTCTTGTCAATCTGTTTAGTAGTGAATCGTTGGTAGTCAATGCTAACGGAAGTGATACCGGTGTGTGGCATTGCGGTGTCACTGTTCACGCGTGCTCTCACTACGTTCACACATACGACACGACTGCAGCGACACGTTAACCGACTTACCGAGTTGAGTTTGTGAGCGGCGATTTTGGCGTTTTCTTGAAGGCGTTTTCTCAACTCCGGACAAGACGCCGCGGGGTCATCAGCGGTTCTAAACAAGAAATACAACATGATCAGGCGGTGGCATTTGTAGTGGTGACGGTGGTGGGGGCGGTAGCGGTTGTAGTGTGATAGTGGTAATGGTGACGTTAATGGTTGTAGTAATATTGGCAACGGCGGTGCCAGTGGTGATGGTAGCGGCGGTGGTGGTGGAGGGGGTGATGGTAATGGTGGAAGGAGTGTGGTGGTGGTAGGGCGGAGATGGTAGTGGAGAAGGAGGAGGTGGTGGTGGTGGAGGGGGTGTTAGTGGTGGTGGTGGTGGAGGTGTTAGTGGTGGTGGTGGTGGAGGAGGTGTTAGTGGTGGTGGTGGTGGTGGAGGAGGAGGTGTTAGTGGTGGTGGAGGTGTTAGTGGTGGTGGTGGTGGAGGAGGAGGAGGAGGAGGTGTTAGTGATGGTGGTGGTGGAGGTGTTGGTGTTGGTGGTGGTGGTGTTAGTGGTGATGGCGGTGGCGGAGGTTACACCCGATGGAATAAGAGAAATCAAATGACAGTGGCTTGAGGGGCAAATGGCACCGTGAAATTGCTGATGCGATCAGCTAGAGGTAGCGTCCTCTTAAACAGCTAAGACATACCCTAGCTCGTCGGTTAGGTGGCAACCAAGATCACGCTCGAACTCGCGCTGTCGGCGATCCTTCAAGCGATGTCCAATGTCCGTAAAGATCTCTCGAGCCTGACGTTTAATGACGGCCGAGCTAAAAAACACAAACAAATAAAGAGAACAAAGACAAGGCGGAGAAAAACAATTAAGGGGTAAAGCGAGCAGGAAGGACCTGCCTCAGACCCAGATTCTCCTTCTCAGACGTCTCCTCCACTAATCTGTGGATGTCCAAGTAGTCGGGAAAGACACGATTACTGTTGATTCGAGCCTCAACTGCACGATTAATGGCGGGATAACGAGAGCCTGTAAATGAATCAATCCCAGAGCATCAGCAAGTTATAGCATCGCTAAAAGACGACAGACAAGTCTGCGCAGCAGACACAAATACGACATTTCTGCAACAACGGGGACACAGGATGGCGTACCCTCGTAGCGAAATCCACATCGCGAAAGGCTGGCGGCGTGTCTGGAGATGTGACGCAGCTGGCACAGCTGTTTCCACACCGACAAGTGCTGGCGTTTAAGATCGTCCAGACGCAGGTAGGCCGACTCCTCGCTCTCCAAGTCGTCCAGGTCCATCTCGGCTGCTTCTAGTTCGCGTATCTTCGACGACAGTAACTAGAATCAGGCGGAAAAAGAGAGTGTTAGCAGTAATCTGGTGTGGAATTTGCTCCAAAATGTTGCAGAAACAATAGCAGAAACTATAAAAACTACTCACACACACACACAAGTACGCACGTACCTCCATCCTTCGCTCCAGATGGTACAGTCTTCGACGATCAGCCCGCTGCGACGAGGGTGAAGGCAGACGCCCTGTTCGAGTCCCCACCTTGGGCGTGGCATCCAAATCAACCACGGTTGTGTCTTCCTCTGTAAAACAGAGAAGCAAAAGTAACAGACACCAGACACGACCGGGTTGTGGATCCACTTTCAAGGGCAACACCCCCGAGTTGTGAACGAGGCACACTTGGTGGTTTAATCAAACATTATGCAGACCGATATCAAGCGGAAAACACAAGAGATCGTTACTGCAGGAGAGTAATGAAATTAGCAACGGTGGAGCAGCCAGGCAACTGCGTGGCGTCACCAAGTCACATGCCTCGTTCGGAGTCCGTGGATGCGGCTCTTGGCGGTCGACTGGGGGTCTCGATCGATACGTTGGAAAGTGGAATGCGTCGTTTGGCTTTGATTCGGCGACCCTGAGACTCGCGACCCTCTTCATCGTCAGATGGACGCGAGGGCATCGATGACAACGGTTTGGCTAGAGAGAGAAGACCAGTGACTGCATGCAGGTAAGCGTCGAGTTAAAGTACTGCAAACACGAGAAGTGGCAACCAACCAGTTACGGCCGATTTTACCGCCTCGGGTAGGAATGACAACAAAGTTTGGCGGCGTGACTTGCGGGGAGGCGGTGAAGTGGGCTCCTGGTCCACCTCAATGATCGCTTCGGGAGTGGTGGATCTGGAATTAGCGAGGAGCGGAGAAGTGGAGATCTGAAGTAGAGGGAGAGGGGTGCAACATTAGGCGTGTTAATTCTGCGTAACCCTTTGTTTTACTACACCGGTTTTGCTGGAACACTATTCAAAGTCACCAATGGTGTTGGGTGATTGTATCTGTTGCATACAGTTACTGTTTACTCTAATTATTGCCACTATTGCTTGTGTAGGTGTCATTTACAAGAGGTTCCTGGGGTGCTTAATCATCCACACGAATACGGAAAAAAGCGCCATATTCTTTCACGGAACACAGTTGATTTTAAGAAATCTGATCCACCACGAGAACAACAGATTAATTGTGAGCGTGCAATTTAAATTAACACAGCAACAAATACGCAGGATGCGAACAGGCCGCCGTTGGCTTTTGCCACGACCTAACCATGATGACAGGAACGACACAACGATAAGTAAGGTATGCGAGATTGTAAGTACTTATTACACGATGCCTTATCCAAGTTGAGCTACTGGTAGTTAGCCTGTTGTGAACGCCTGGGCCTACAGAGAACGAAGTAAAGTTGGCGCGTGTTCGAATGCCGAACCAGAAACCAATCCGATTATCGTCTTGGCGTGGTATTTACAACACATGCAACTTCTAAGAGCCTCAGGACACCAGTTGGTTCTGTATAGTACCCAAAACCCGCGTTATTTTTAAAACGTCGTCACGACGCTTCATAAGTGCACTACGAACGCCTGATTGCACTAACATTCGCATTTGGCATAAGAATGTATGTTAACGAGGTCGGTTTCCTTAAAAGGCGCGTCGACGATTCAAACATTTGAATGAATTTCAGCAGATGGCACTGCCGAAACCGCTGTCCAAGGTCGCAGGTTCTGCCACAGCGCTTAAACGCCCAAGACAAGGTGCGTGCAAAAATTAGCAAAGAAACAGACAAAACGAACCATGAGGCGCTGACATTGGTTCCGCGTGAGGGGCCCGAGAACCTGCAAATTTAAACAGAAAAAGACTTTTTTTTTCCGTGAACCCACAAAACCAGCAGATTTGTGCATCCAGGTTCTCACGTTTCCGGTACGAAATCAATACCGGCAATGGAAACTGACCTCTTCAGTGAGCCCGTTAGCGGACGCGTTCTCCTTCAACTTCCGCTTGAGGTCCACCAGCGTGACGTAGATTCGACTAGGGCACTTCTGAATTCGTTGAAGACAACGCGTCAGGAGGCAGCGTGCACCTCCGTTATGGCGAAAGGCATAACTCGTTGCTAGGTACTTCCGCTTGAGCATCACAAGAATGAGACCATCGTTCGGAGACAGGAATGGGCGCAGTTGAGTTGAGAACTTAAGCATAAGCAAGCAAGAAGGAAATAAACTGTGAATGTAGCTGCCAAGGCAGGACTGAGTTAACTGAACGTGCCTTGAACGACCTTGAGCGTAACTAAGACAGATAAGAAATCTACAAGGGAATGAGCCAATACCATGGGGCGATCGATGTGAAAATTCTGAGTGTGGATTGGCGGGATGACGCTTGAACGTTGAAGAGTCAACGACAACCACGTGGCGATCAGCTGATCTGAGCTTGGGTAACTTTGCCAAGAAAGAGGCGCCTAAGCGAGGCATTGCATAACTTGTCTACGAACACACTTTATCGCCAGAAGATTCTCGATTCTACTTCACCTAAAGCACTGCTAGCAATCGAAGTTAAGGCGTCAGTGCAGGCGGAAACGAGGTTATGAGCGACCGACTGTAGTAATTCGTGAATTGCATCTCCGCCTACCTGTGGCCTGGTTCACTCCTTCCACCTGACCTACCATAACCTACATTTAATTAATAAACCACAGAATTCAAACCACCAACAGCCCTCGCTCCCACTAGTTTACATCTGCGATTTATAAACCTGTTGCATCCTAGCACAAAACACAATTTGTCGGAAAACGATCGATCCCCAAGTGACCTGGGACTTCACTCCACTTCCCACAGGGAGGGGCAGCTATAGAATTTGTCGCGCATCACCAAGATTCGATGAGTGTCAGCACGGGGACATTCAGAGAACCGATATTCCCACATTTCGTTGAAGAATGCAAACATGAAAAGTGAAGTTGCCTGTCAGATGACCACAGAAGGGGCCAGTGAGAGTAAAGCTAGAATGACGATCAAGTGAAAACACTCACAAAAAAGGTGGGAGGCAGGCGAGAGTGAGAGCAATGCAGTAAACGACACGCTAAATCTAATTCTGGAAAAGAAGGTGGCCTTGCAAGGAGCAAGTGGAAATACGATTAAGTTTGGTTTAAATCTCGTCGGCTCGTCACATTACGATAATGCTAACAGAGCTAATGCTAGGTACCACGTAAAGTGGATTTTGTAGGAATCTCAATTGAGACCATAAAACAACACCCGTTTCGTGCTCCAATGAAATGCCACATTTCGAAGAACTCAGGCTGAACAATGTAGAAATTGGAAATCTAAAAGCAATCAAGTCGATCCTTATCAAACAGGTCCCATTAAAAGTAAGCATTGCCCAAGAAATGTAGGTCTGTGTCTAGCGAGACACAAGAGTCACAACTCTAGGTGAGTGAATAAGTAGGCCGCCTATCTGTTAGCGTGTGACAATAGTCACGATACAGGCTGCCATGTGGGCGGGAAATCTCGACACTAACAAAGGTTGTTACGTGGGTAATTTCACCCTGTCTTCGCTATCGAACAATCCATAACATTGAGCTTTATGTAAATAGACCAAAGTCATTCAACACGACAGTCGATAAACAAAGGGTTATATTACACGCGTTTTTCATCAGCACAGTCATCACGATTATATGCCTTCATGTGGGATTCTGAATACCCCTGTGTGTACTTAAAGATATCAAATCGCAGCAAATTTGGCAATAAACGAGTCTGCTCCATGTAAGTTAGTGGTCTATGAGAATGAATACCTCAAATAAAATGCGTAAATTCACAAGTGAGACAAAAAGGGTTAGAATTTCTGAGACCCATGCTGGCCAATCAAGTATCCATGATAAACTTCTTTTCAGTCAACTAGTTCATAGCTTTGCAACAAAAATCAGCCGATCAGGACTTAGTAGAAAAGGAATTTTAGTGACAGAGCGAATTTAAATTATAAAGTCGCGTAGCCACTTACTGAAACGAGAAATGCGTTATTTTTAAAGACATATAGTTTCTTGTGGGATGCTTTAGAGCAAGAAAAGACCATAATGAGATGGTTATGGAGAGCAACAAGGTCATTACCGTAAAAGCTCATTGACATAGGAAATTCCATGGAATTTTCAAAATAAAAAAATTAGAAGATTGTGTCCGCGAAAAATTAAAGAATGAACTGCACAATAATTGACCATAATATTATCAGAATGCCAAAGAAATAAAGCTATAAAGCACAAGATCTCAGGTAGACATACCCAAGACCAATTATCATCGGCCATCCACTTTCTCCTGTAAGAGCCTAAGAAAGAAACAAAATACAAATTGAGTGGGGAACGGATGTTATGAAAAAAGGAACTATATGCTGAAATGTGTCAGGGATATTAAAAAAGTTTTTTTTATTATCACCGGACTTATTCGTAAAAAAGCAGATAATCCACAGGACTGAAATGGATGTTAGCATTAATACCAAAACTCTAGACCAGCGAAAAAATGACCCTAAAGACTAATAGGCGCGAACGAAAAATTTTTATCAATTATTGTGTAGGAGAAACAAATGCTATTTGTCAGGCGTATCTATTTAAACCAGGAACTAAAAGTCAAACCCGAAAAAATATACACGAAAAGCTCACGCAACCAAATTTCTGCGAAAAGGCGAACTAAACTAAGATCTAATTCACCGCTTTTATTTTACATGTATTAAAATAAACTTTAGGTTTGCCTGCTATTAATATAAAAAGCTGGCCTGTTAAAAAAACTTGCCCATTATGTTATTTTAAAATATTTACATTATTAAACAAGGTTGCGATCTTATACTGTTTCGATAGAAGTATGCACCCAAATTCATTCAAACGGAATCATAGAATGAGTCACATATGAGGCTACATTTATACGTATTTTTAAAAACATATTGCAGCGCTTTAATTTTAAACATCTGCTATTGGGTTCTGGATACCAGGCTGCTTAAAACGCAAGATATTAGTGACTTTCCACTGACTGCTTCTCGGTTAATGCACCCTATATCAGGTCAATAATTGCGCATAAATTAAATTATTATTAAGTTATTGAACAAAAGCTATGTGATTCTGACTGCCTTTTCTCGACAATTAGGTTGTGTCTGGCTGGTCAGCACGTGCTTTCCAGACTATGCACTTACGACGTTCAATTGGCAGTTTTAAGCAGCCTTATGCATTTTATTTGACGTTTTAAAAAATCTCACGAAAGGGTTGTTCTCTGAACTCTTAATCTAAAGTTCATAAGATCTTAAAGTGGATCGACAAACTCCCGGCGGTAGGCGAAAATCAACAAAAAGCACCCCGAGATGCCTGTACCAGTTTTCACAGAAACATTGTTTTGGATTTTACTCGGTAAGGGAGTCATAGTAAAAGTTAGACCCGCATCGTCACTTGCAGAAGCTCAAGTCAGGCGTCCACATCTAAGTCAGGTTTTGACGGCCAGGTTTGAGGCGGGTTAATGTCCTACCAAGTAATTTAGTAGGAGTCTTGACAAGAGCTTTGAGTCCACACTTAGAAACTCCGATGTTTACTCGATACACCTATTACCGCAGATGGCAGCTAAAAATGATTGACGATTCAAGTGCCCAGTAAAAATGAAGACTCAGACGAATCTAATAAACTGGAATGTCAAGGCAGGGCTTAAGAACAAAAGCACGGATTTATAATGAAGTCTGGACATGCACCCAACACACATAACGAACAAGAACAAAAATCTTCCGCGCATCAGTGCACGCACGATCCAGTTCAAAGTACTCTGCGATTTGAGGCTTCTATAATGCGGTCAGTTGTTGTCAAATTATGAACCTAATGTGAGAAAACTTGATACCTCAGATAAGTGGGCGCGGTCATGAACGCTGGTTTGTACTGCCCCTCCTTAAAACATTCTTCCAACGACAAATCCATATCGACTTAAATTAGTTGACATCGATTCACCAATTAGCGCGTTGATTTGGAACGAATTTGTCGACAGGTTAAGTGACAAACAATGAGAAAGCCCTTAGAGAGAAATCAATCCCAACTATGACTACATATACAGCGGTAGCTACCACCCAATGATAATTAGCAGGTGTTGTTTGAGCATTACAAATCACGTCGAAGGAAATTCGGTAGACATTATACAGGAAAAAACAGCAAAAGGATACATGATAAGTCAAAAGCCGGGTGTATGTAAACACGGTATGACAAATAATAAATATCAGCACTGAACAGCAATCGGCAAGCTCAACCAGCCACCAAAGACTTCTCCAGTGTGAAATTGTAGGAATACTAAAGAAGAACAAGGAATGCACACTTTTTTTCTATCAAAAGGCTGTACATGTGACTAGGAATAACATCGCAACTAACCTCATCTTCAATCGTTTCGCGGGATTTCGGGTGAACGGAATATCGACTCATCTAGGAAACCAAAAAAAAGTGGTCTCGAAGAATGATGACTACGGTAGTGAGGAAGAACGGCTAGGGGAAATTAACTTACGATGTCATCTGCGTCACCAATGCGACAGTCTCTCGTGAGTTCAAACGGAACGCCACACATGGCTAAAGAAGAGAGGAAACATGGGGAAGGGGCGACCATTTTGGGTTAAATAGAACACAAAAGGTGGTCGTTTGCAAGATTCTTGCCATCAGGAAATCACTACATCTACCAGCGTGGAATAGACTGCAAGGAGGCTACAGTTAAAAACGTGCAGCCTCATAGATTTACGACTAATCACCACCACGACAAGGAACTTTCGTGGCACCAAGCCTTTACGAAAGCGATAGTTTGTTCTAGGAGCCACCAACAGAGAAGGTCACGCGACTAAAAGTAGACTATCTCTTTAACAATTGGATTTTAAAACGCGAAACTGCTACTGGCGATTGACGACACCACAGAGGTAAAGTCCTAACTAAAGTATACTTTAGCATTAAAAACGAAGATGTGAGTTGAAAATTTGCACAGTTTAGGACAGAAACTTCTGGGGTCACATGTAACGGAGAGCAAAAAACATTCCTTTTTAATTAATTACCGTTAAAAACTAGTGAACAGAACAGAACCAAAAAAGTTGCATTTGCAGGATACAGAGAGAGCATTATCTAACAATCGTATCAACACACACAAAACGTACGACTGTATATTTGCGATTTGCGTGGAGTTTCCGCCGGCTTCGCTGGAGCCCGTTTTTTGAGGGAATTGTCGCCTGCGTTTGCGGAGCTTCCAATATCGGACTGGACGCACGCCAGTATACGCTGATCAGTCAACTCCCTGCAGAAAAAATTGCTTTGAGTGACGATTTTGAGGACGTAAATAAGGCAAGTTGAAAGCCGGATGACATTGGATCCCCCGGTATCATTTCATTACACGATAATGAGTTGTTTTAGGTGTGATTATTGTACCTCCTATGAATCACTTAGCCATCTGACAAACACCTGACTGCGAATTGATCTCATTCGGTGACTATAAACATTGACAACGCTTACCCGACTAGAATATGTCCCCTGAGGCTATCGCCAGCATTTTTAAAGATCATGACGTCCGTAATAGCGGTCATATGTGGGGTCCATTTCTCGAACTTGGCACATAGGTGCTTCCCTTTGATGCACCTCTCTCCTGAATAAACACAAGTGAGTAAATTTACTGAGAACCTCTTCGATATTAATTAAAAGCGCACCAAATATTTGTGAGGTTCGTGACAATGTGATTCAAATGTGCTTTCCCAAAGCAAGCATATTTTGGAGTCACCAGGTCGATGTAGATATAATGGACACTTCATACTATGAATTTTGGCTTCGGACAAAGAGCATTGTCAAGCCCTTGAGGAAAAACTGTACCCACTAGGTCATTCAGTTAAAATTAATGCTTTCGTCACTGTTTTGAAGGATTCCATACAATTATCAGGTTGCTACAAAAGTACTAGCAACTTTTTTATGGAATCGGATATCAAGTAAGCTAATTTTTACCGGTTTCAATAGAAGTTGTGCTTACTAACCAATACTTGCCTATTCATATCTTTCTTCATTTCAAATGTACCAAATTTGTGTTAAAATCGTACAAATGTTTGAGCAGGGAAGTTGTAATTTTCCACAAAAGTTTCGGCAACGTTGTAGAGCGTAAACAATGGTTGGTGTGGTGATGACATTGCTAGTAAAGTGCACTGACGAAAACGCTCGCCGGAAATATGCACCAAAAGAAACACATGTTTTCACTAAGATCTAAGAGGAACGATTGTAGATAGTTCGCTAACACTAGCAACGTTGGAATTTGGGGCAAGTTAATTCTACGTAAACATTTAGAAGCATTCGTAATGCCTAGTGCGAAGTCTGAGCGATACATCATTCAAGTGGGCTAAACACAAAGCTAATAGACTGGCAAAACGATACAGGTAAGCGCGATTAAACTATGCGTTTGCATAAAATAACTGTCCGACCACTGCAAAAGTTTGAGGGCACAAAAAAAAAAATAAAATGTTTCAAGCGGCATGAAAATATTTCCAGATATTTGAACATGAAAATAAGAAATGAAAGACGAACTTGTATCAAGAGTCCTTTCGATAATGGTGAACCCAATAGGCACTGCGTCTCTGCTCGTAACAATTACGAGTTCAACTAGCACATTATGGGGAGAACTTTGGCTGCATGGCTTTTTCTCATAAACCAAATATCTGGAAGATTTGCGCAAAAGATTCTCCTTGCCAATATCAGCATCTTCATGAGTATCTTTTGTCAACTTCACCTAGATTTTTAAAAATCTCGAAAAGTGTAAAAGTACATTGAATTAAACACAAAGGCAACTGATGTCATACATATACCAAGAACATATAGAATAGACAACAGATTAGAAAAGAAACTTTGTCATAAAAAAAAACAAAAGTGATTTTACTCTAAAATAAAATACTTACCGCCGTACAATGGCTTGGCACTCGCGATAGAGAAGTGACAAAACCAATCCCAGTAATCGGATGAGACATTTTGGCCTAGGAAATAATTTGAGTCAAGCAATTCCCATTCAGCCCAATAAAACGATTTAAACTACAATAAACGGGATGACAAATTTCACCTTGCACTATCCTTTCTTACGTATTTTTAACGTTTTAAATAACTGTTTGCTATATAGCCGAAAAATTTGAGGAACTGTAAATGACAACGCATCTTTTCGGCGTGAGTTTGACTGCCGTTCATATGACCAATGTAATGTCATGTGCTGTATTTCGATTCATCTTAGTGCTTTAACTATAATAGATGAGAAGAAGGTAGTTAAAGGTTGATCCACTGAAAAACATTGGTCAAAACACGGAACAGTCTTGAGGGGACTATTCATTATGACTAGACGTAAATGAAACTACTCAATCAACTGCTCTTTGTAGATAATTTTGGAACTTTTAATGACCAAAGTCTGTTTTCGTGACCTGCAAGAGAAGACAAAACTTTTCAATTATAATTTTACTGAGACGTGTAAGGAGCTTTCACTAACACAGTTAAGTCAGTCAACGTAGGTTGTTTTTTTTGGCCATTCAATGACGTGTGGACCCAAGCTTCTGACACCTCAAATAATTTCTCGTATCTTACTGTTTGTAACTTTATTTCCATCGATGCTTCATTTGAAACTGTATGAAGTGGATCATCTAAGTGGGTGGCTACATTTTTATACATAACTACGAAGGAATATAAAAGTGGAACATGGATGGATGGGAAGCACCAGTGACCAGAAAATTGCGCTTGGTTAGACGAGGACCGTAGTAATGTGGTATTTTGTGGTTTCGTCTATGAAAAACATGCTTCACATGTATTTTCTAACTAGGGATTGAGTATTCTGCAGTCTTATTATGGCATCCATTTGAATTTTAATAGTTCTCAAATAGAAGCTTGATGTAACAGGAATTCAAGATCAGTGTTGTTGAAGAGCGTGTTTCCGTCCAACTAAGGACTTGTTGTTGATAAAAATATAAGTTCTGGAAAAAACAAGGCTTTTTACGATAATTTAGTTTACCCCCATGTCTTTTTTCGTGCTTCCTATTGTAAACGCACAAGAAACCGTTTTTTGCGGCCAAAAGGCAAAGAAATAAATAATCACACTTTTTGCAGAAATATGTCTTTGACGAGTTGGATAGTTCACAGAAAAATTGCACATTATCTATTATTTCCATCAAAATGCTTTAAGTTTTCCACTTTTTTTTTTTCTATAGAATATAGTAACAGCCAGTGTTTTTCATTTAGGTAAGCCATATTTGTTTGGTGATGTAGAACACAAATGTTTGAATGCATTATTCACCCAGAAATATATTTGGTGTTTCAGTCTGTAAAATCGCATAAGTTCATTTTCCTTTGCCTAACAGGCGTAATTTCCAATCCAGTTTACGTTGGGTTGCATTTTACGATTGATTTTTCTGTTGTTCTTGAGTAAAGTAGTGAGCTGTAAGGTATGAAGGCTAGTATTTTGAGCTAATGAAGGTCAGTCAGCGAATTGCTTAGTACAATGCAATACCCTAACCTGAATAAACGCATTATCAGTGAATCGTTTTTATTCAGCATCGCAATCCGATCGCTTCACCTCCGATACAAGGCTCCCCTTCTCGCAGAATGGCGACAGCCACGTAAATCCCCAACTCCCCTCTTCATTCACACGAATATGTATCCTGGGTTAACCTCACACCTAGATCTCGATGTTAGCGCATGTATGACTCACACATTCGATCTATAAATTCACACGCGCAAACCCCACACTCGACACAACGACACCAACGAGGTTGAGCTCTGAAGTAAACGGTTGTGTCCCGTCCTCTCTGGTCTTCTTCTTCATCGCGGGTATCAGGCAAGCGTAATCGGTCCAGGGTTAATTCCGTGGCCCCGGCCTGGTCCTAGAACCACCTGCTGGGGCCCACAACAGACTAATCATTAGTGCAAGGAACTCACTGTTTGTTGCGGTAAATGCATAAAATAGTATAATTCAACACGACTCCAAAGTCCATTGTGAAGGTTCTTCTATCGAAAACAACTTTCAGCAACTAGAGTACACAAGAGAAGTAAGGTTTACAAACTGATCTGAACAAAATTATGTACTCTGAAATTCAACAACATCCACTTTGAATGATATTAATTAAATCTCGAGAAACGAGGATAATATGTTTAACGACAGCTTATAAGTGAGATTTTCCCTCTCACGCAAATGTCATGCATGAATGCACTACAAAAGATTTACTTGCCATTTCTTTGAAAACATGAAAATCACTCAACTCATTGGCTTACTAAACAAGCCTTACCATAACCTTCATTATGATTGTGCAGTCTTATTGATTAAGGCAAGTTCATTATGGTTTGCTGTTCAATTTCGGGAGAAGCATTTTAATTTTAGCAGTTAATTTTGTCGTTCATAATCTGTGTACTTAAAAACCGTATCAAACAGAATATATTTTAAAATATTTAAACTAAACTACCTGTTGAGTGCCACAGAAATTATATTTCCGTTAAAGCAATTTGCTTGAGCATTTTAAGCCCTTCTGTACAGTTTTAAAATTAGTACGCGTTTTTATGTACATCTGCATTGAACCACCATGAACGCAAACATTCGCATTCGTCTGACCTTCATATTGATTATCTTTATTCTCTTATTATTTTGCTTATTTCTGATTGGCTGGTCACTGGCACCTAATTGTAGTAATGCGATCTGGCCAGGTGATTGGCCGGTTCGCCAGTCATCACTGTTGTACGCTACCCTTCATCAAGAGCACTTGTCCAATAGGTGATCGCCTTTCCAGGTCTATTAAGTATGCCGCCACGAAATGTCGCCAGTATCAGCGATTCTACTTTAAACGGATTCAGATATCCTGAAAATAACACACTTCGCATAAATTCTCGCATGAGTCCTCGTGAGTGCCCTAAATTGATTGGTCCAAAATTTTCTGATAAAAAGGTTGATAAAAACGTTTTCAAGCAGGCTCCGTTTGAGTCACAACGTGACACGAATATCCAGAGATGTATTAAACTAAGGCACAGATAATCCAAACTTTGTAATCGGCAATAGAGGGTTTTTATCTTGTAATTAACAGCCATGAGTGTATAAAGCGTGTAGGTTAAAACAGCTCGTGAAAACCACGGTGATATTTGGTGTTAAAAATAGGAATGCAAAGGTGCCATGTCGAATTCGCCAATTCGACAGTCATCACTGGGTTATCCACAGGCGAGGGAATTCGAAAATACAAAAACAGCGTGTTGACGAAATGGTGGTGCTCGTTGAATAATCTCAAACCACCAAGTACACAGCAGGAGAACTCAATCAGAAGGGAAGAAATTACAATTTTCTCCACTAAATTATCTTTTTTGCCTTCGGAAATTGAGGCATGCACGCGTGCATGTTAGTACCTGATTAAACAACGCACACGTGGAGGAGAATCTAGCTAAGAATGGTCAGACAGGAGGGCATTCTTGTGTTAGTCAACACAAATCTGCTCATCCAATCAGCGTTATCAACCAAAGCCTGATCTCGTGTGTCGGAAATGCACTGCATAACCGTGAAGTTATCTTGGGCCGAAATTTAATAATATAAACAAACGCCCAGGCGCCTTGTTACCTAACCGCCCGAGGTCCACTGATCAAACTCATAACTACAACAAGGTAAAAATATCACGTGGTAGATGATAACTTTTCTTGAGGTTGTTCCGGAAATTTGACTTAAGTAAAGACCAGCGTTTAGTAACGAGACACGGTCCAATTTCTGTCTGCTGCTTGCAGCAGTCTGTCAGGAATGAAGAGTGGAATAGCAAATGATGGGTGATAATTTTCCCCCCATGTGTTCTTTTAAAACCTGGATGCCACTAGTCTGCATTATCTCACGATCAAGTATCATTTTAAGAAGGTACTCGCATGAATGCAACATAATCCTAATTGTCTATCAATAGCAAAAAGCCATTGGAGAGCACGCGAACACACAATTCTAAGCCAATAGACGTTTTCTTTGTTCTCGAAGTATGGGAAGATGAGTACTCGTCCTCTTTTGCCACGAACCACATTGGATGCGAGTTCATTTCGACATGTACAAGCGCTTAGCAATCAGGCGCGTTCCGATTTTAATCCACTACCCGCCACAATCTGGTGAGAATGCAGGCAGTCATGGTTAGCACGAATCTGAGTTGGAAATCTATGTTTTCTATAACAGGGTTGTCGGGAAAAGCATTCAACGTTGTCCTCAGAAATCGGTTAACAGCATGACGTGGACAAGGTACTTTCCAGGATTTAGATCAGGCAGTTCACGATCTCGTGGAACCAGGCATCATTTGAAGTAGCTAGGTTTGCAGATTGCATTCAAGTCATCTTCTAGATGTTAAATTATTCCTGTAGATCAGTTCCGCACAACTACGAGGGTAGCTCTCCCAAGTGAGAGATCATAGTCGAAAGTGGGCTGGGCATATTGCGTGATCTCGCTCCTACGATCCCTTGTCATCCTTTTCCGTATCATTGAATTACGAACAGCGTTGTATGACAACAGCTAACCCGTGATATGTTAAGTCTGCGAATATTCACTTACCTCCACTACTTCTATAGCCTACGATCTGATGCCTCTCCCTACCCACTAAGCAAACCTACCCCAACATTGAGCTAACCAATCACAAAATTCGGAAACACAACGCGCTATCTGCTCGAGGCTGTTTTCACGATTTCACCTGAATGAACACTAATGCTCAACGCCACACAAACGACGCAGTGCAGAGCGATAACGACAATTCTCTAATTACAAATACACTCGAGCAATCTGAGAGCTACATCTGACCAATGGGATCTCTGTACAGAATGAAGGGGATCGGGGGGAAAGCGGGGAGGGAGGGAGCCCCACGCTCAACCAGACCCCATCGGGCCGAGGTTGGCCTCCCGCCGGATGGTTTCGTAGGTGAGCATGGAGATCGCCGTGGCCGGGAGGACTTTGATGAGGTTGGCGCCGAGACCGCGGTAGAAGCCGACGACACCATCGTCGCGCCAGATGGCGCGTAGGAGGGACGGAACGGTGAGGGGTGGGTGGGGCACGCCCTCACCGAAGATGGGCTGCTTCCAGTGGCACGAGGCCTGCATCTTGGCGCGCAACAGAGCCACCGGATACGTGGTTACGATGCCAAGCATCGAGGCGGTCGCTGCGATGAACGGAATGGTGTGGGATGGTGGATGTAGATACAGAGATGCACTTCTACAAGTTGGACAAGAACACGTTCTCGAATACCCACAAAGTAAATCAAACCGATGGAGTTCGTGTGCGAAAATGGGTTGAGTAATGGTCGTACAGATTAGTTTAGAAGGCTTTAAGCTATATGCAGGGGATTTTAAATCTATCCTGTCTGTAAACAAACAACGGTAATCGGTGATGGAGTAGGTCCTTGTACAACGCCTCCAGCACTTGCCAGTGGGATGGAATATGCTGAAGTTTGCAAGCGATGGCAATAAGTAGGTTCCACTGGGCGTCTCAAATCTTCCCTCAGTCCCTGACCTGGATCTAATTCCAGCTGTAAACGGGAGAATTCAGGACAAATGTTCTCAAGTACCATCCAGAACACTACATTCAATGAATTTTGGATGCAATGATGTGGTGCAGGCCGAAGCACCTCCGCACTCCTTGAAAATCCATCCTTCTCCACTTCAAGCTTTCCTATTGGTTGTGCGGTCGTGTTTGAGCACGCGCCGGTGCGTGCATAGCACCGCCTGCGTTTGTGACTTATAAGCATGCGCGACCTTGGGCGCGCAAAAACACAAGAAGCAAGATGTCGTGGTGGAGCATTATACTTGAGTGATTTCAATGATTTTATCGGAAAAAAAATAGATCAAAATACGCAACGTCCGGGCTTATTCAATCGTGTTGACAACCCAATCTGATTTCGATGTAACTACAAGGCCTGCGATGCGCTTTGAGATGCTGATTGATTGCGTTAAGCGAATATCCTTCATCGCATGCAACAACCACGCGTCGAGTTTCGTAGCGATTAAAATTGTTGCTGTTGTGTGTGTGTGTGTGTAGTGCACTTTACAAGCTCTCTGAAATCTCGCAGTCAGCTATTTGTTTAAAACAATCGCGATACGCGCGTTTTTTCTAAACAACTAACCCAACACCCTTCGAATTTGTCCTTGTCCTTCAGAGAAGTGTTCTTATTGCACGTCGCGTTAACATTTCCACCTCTTCCAAAAAGCCACTGTCGGAAGCGCAACATTTTAAATGCGTCAAAAATTAGCAGGCTTTTTCAGCTTTTTTTAGTCGAAAAACGCGAAAATGCGAAATGATCGTTTCGCGCATCGGCGTCAGCGAAGAACCGAAACTAACACCCACAGTCAATAAATAACACCCATAAACGAGCGATTAACACCCAAGCAAATCCATTTGTGAAACTGCCTTAGCGCCACAGGGCAGAATTATAAGAGCCCGTGTGTGTATGCACAAAGAGTCAACTCACTGTGAATCGGGAAAGACGCGAGGCGAAAGACGCAGGATTTGGCTCATGTACCGATGAATGTAGGCCGATTTGAGCCACTAAAATCGAGTAAAGATGGGCAATTAGGCGGTGACATGGCTACCAGAAGGCACTCTGCCACACTGACTGACCAGAATTCCACTACCATTAAGATTTTCAATCAAACAATCAGAAAGAAATGAACTGAGAGTCACCAGGGACTACGTTAACCGATAACTTGAGGTAAAAACCACGGCCATCATCGGATGTTAAATTTGCGCAAGTTTTAAAATGTGGAGTCTACTAAATGTAGAGCAAGGCACTTGCGGAAATGGGACACGAACACACACGCACACATCCGCTGGCCAGATGGACCGATTGATAAAATAAGAGTAAGCTACGCCACGATACATGTTCGGAAAACGATTATGCGTGTCCTGTTAAATATGAGAACAATTGTGCTGGATTTCTCTTTGTGCACTAAATCATGAATTTGTCTTGTAGATGTTATCGATTAGGTTGTCGAAGACAATGAAAAAGATTCAAGGGATGGAAGTGTGGATGTCGCATGAATTAATGTAAAACCGAAACATAACAAGTCGACTAATATAAAGCAAAAAATAGTGATTCTTGCATCTCATTGTTGCTGGCAACAAAAATAGGTGTTATTATGTTTATTTGGGACAAAGGATGTATGGGATGGGTGGGAACGTCATTAACCAATCAGGATCTCCAATTATGCAAAAGGAGGACCACACGCATTGCGAAATGCTCGTGAGGAATCTGTCAATCAACCAAGCACGTAATTTGAAAGGGCTAGTAAAAAAGGACCTGACTGCCAGCTACAAAGGAGCGGCCACACGAATCATCCTCAGACCTCCAGGTTTACATCAAATTTCATTGTTAAATAAGCGTACCTCGTAAGTAGCCAATTCTATTCCGGCATAGGGAATGGCACCAAAGAAATTGACCACGTAGCCACGAAAAAAACCGCGCACACCTAGTTCTGCATAAATTTGCTTTGCACAGTCGATCACAGATGAGTACTGACCCGTCTTTCGGAGGCACATGCGTGTCTTCAAGACCTACAGCAAGGAATAGGATCATGCTCAATTGCATTAACATCACAGCGAATGCCAAAACATGGTCTACAAGCAGTTTCTTGAATCGCTATGAAATGAGCGTTGAACGGTACTAGCAAAACGTGGAGTTACAAAATGGTAACTTCGCCTTCCGCTGTTACCTGAGATGTGAGATGAGCAAGAAGAGGCATTTCCTTCAACTTACCTCCATTGGATAGACTGCAGTTTGAGCGGTGACGCCAGCAAGAGACCCAGAAACGAACTTGGTAATGACTGGATGTCGGTCAAAGAATCCATTTTCATCCATGTCCATTAGAAGGCGCTTATACCGCTCGTAGGTTGTGTACTTTGCCGCAGTTTCGGGAGCTACCTTCACCGAATTGATGAGGTTGCCACGCCAGAGTGACAAGAAACCACCCTCTCGCAGCATATAGCGGTACGCTGAGAAACGCACAAGGAGAAACAACCCATTAAGCGCGCGTGTTCAAAGACAACCGATGACATGTCCGTCTTCATCACGTGGTTAAAAATTAGGCTACATCTTGGGCTACGCAAACAAGACCAATGTAATTCTAGTATAAAACGGAGAAGCGGGATCGCACGCAACATATCATTACGTTATATCTTAATTTAAAAGATTACCCTGAACGAATCCACTTTGCTTGTGTTTGTATCCATAAACCTGTCTCATCACCTTTAATCGATCGATTGGAGCCGTGCAGGTTCGTGAGACAACACCTGCTGTAGCGCCAGCACCCAGCTGCAGGATGTCCCGTCTAAATGCGTGTTCATGTTTCATAAACTGGGGTATTGCAACCACCGGATCAACAGATAAATCAAGGATCTACAAAAACCAATTTGGCACTCACGGATCGCAAAATGAGTTATTCTAAGAATCTACTGCAACTTACGGCACCATGGCGCCAAAATTGCGTGACACTAGCTAGGTCACAAATTGGGAGGAATAGCAGAAACTTTCGCCATTCCTCGTACTCGATGTGATCATCATTATTCTTGTCCATGCGGCGTAGAAGGCCCTTGGCTTCAGTTGGCTCAAGTGGAATACCAAGTTTCATAAAATACGCTTGGATGTCCATGAGATCGACCTTGCCCTGCATATTGCGGTCCATTTGAGCATAGATGGGAGATAAGTGCCTATCTTGCTCGTGTACATAGTGGGCAAATTGTTTAAAATTCACATAACCATCAGATGCAATGTTACACCGCTCAAGGAAACTCTGAAACAACAATGCTGTCAGAACAAAAGTTCACATAAAGCATGAATTTACCTCGGCTAAAATATCCAAATTGTTTTTAGTAATTTTAACGTTAAATTGTTTCAAAAAACATTTGACATCCTCTTTCGAGATTAAACCATTCCTGTCAAGATCTATTTGTTGAAAGAGCTTCATAGTTGGAGACACTTCTTCGTGCACAGAGAAGAAGGGAAAAACGAACCTCATCGTCACAGGCTTGCGCTCAATACCACGCGCGAACAACGACAGTTACAAAGATAAAATCCGACTTTGGCCTTTAATTCAAGGTCAGTTAAACCCCAAACATCATCAATGTTTTCATTTAAATTAATATATTTCCCTTTATATATTTGTATAACAAGAAACTTTTTCATTTTTAAACTTTATTTATGCTGTTGTAACATAACTTTATGAAACAAAAGTAGTCCTTTTAGTTGATTTTTAAACCAAAATTTTATTCTGTAAGGAACATATAATGATTATTCACTGGTAGGTACTCTTACCTAGGCATAATTTCCGTTCTGTTAGTACTACAAAACGCCAAATTCAGTGTGAGAGACATTACTCTGTGCAGTGATGTTAAGTAACTATTTAGTAGGAAGAAATGCCCCATCTTTACCTTGTATGTCAAACCACACACTTTATCGAGATGCTGTATGATGTACATTCAGATGCATATTTTCAAGATTACAAGGTAAAATATTCTTTAATAATATTGACTGTTAACAATTTTGACTGTGTCTCAACTGAAAACTGACTATTCTACGAGGCACGACGCAACAATTGAGAAATTATATTTTGCTTCGTATTATTTGGCACAGCGTTTGGAACTAAGTATAAATAGATTGAAAATAGCTAATTTAGGAAAAGGCTAAAGACCTAAAATGCTTCCTCAATAAAGTTCAATCTTTTGATAAACATGTTTTCACTATTATTAAAAGACACAACAATTATTATAATTTGTAGTTTAAGGGTTATGGACATTTTCACTTCCAAATCATCAGTAACTACATTTTTTACTCACCTTTTAAACTACGTAGGTGACATTTTGGAGTTCTTTGTCAAGCCTATTAAAAAATGCGTGTGTAATAAAAAAAATTTGCCGTTTTTCTTAGGTGTTAATTAGTCGACTACAAGTTTTCAGTACACCCAAAGACAAGTCTACTTGAGTTACACAAATCCACAGAATACTAATGTTTTCGATTGTATCTGAATAGCCAAACAGGCAGCACAGTATTTATGCAGATTTAATCAAAGAAATAAATGATTCTTAAGCAGCTGTTGTCATTTATGAAATGTGTGATTGTTAGTTAAAATAATTTTGATGTCGTTATATCGATGCTAGTGACCACCTGCACCCCGGACCGCTTCAAAAATGTCAAGATGCGAGATTGCAATTTCTACCATATGAAAACCTAATGCGAATGCAAACAAGAGCTTGCGGCTCAATTAAGAGTCCGATAAATCGCTATTTACAAGTGTGTGCATTAAATGAAAGCAATAAAAATGCGCATTTATTGACCGAATGCAACTGCCTACGTCATGTATGAACACGTTGTATTAAAGTGGTAACGCGTATACAATAATGCATGTTTTACCACGATTAGACACGTAAAAGTCTTATGGCTGAATCCCAGGAACGATATACATCGACATTTACACTGGCCGTCTACTTGAAGAAGGATAACCTGCCTATATTATGGGGAGATATAAAGGGAGTGATTTTTTAAGCGCTCTCGAAAACTGGTCGTCAGACGATGAAGCAGAACACCAAAACCGACAATTATACAAAATAAGCCAAGAACTCTGTCAAAAGAGTGTAAATCATTCCGCTGGTGCACGACAACGCGCAATCTCACGCTGATTATTCGCTTCAGTAGACCCCCATGTTCTTGGGATAGGAGGTTCTCCCATGCGCGAGATATTTATTATACTTGGTCCCATAGGACAATTTTCTGTTCGCATCATTGCAGCAGGATTTATCAGGTTAATGGTTCGAAATGCTTGACAATATGCTCGCATTCGTCGATGACTCTAGTGTTTTAAAGCCTTGTTAACTTGTCCACAGATGCAGGACGACACACACAGATGGCCGGAACCATGGATCCTATGCCTGGGGCCAACCTCATACCTCCCATGCTAATAATAAGACAAAGCAGGGCCTCAGGCAAAAATCGTTTTATGTCTGCTAATATTAATCAAGAATGACTTTGACGAGATGGATCGAGAATATTAACACAGATGGGACCAAATTGACGTGATTAGGGAAATTGTGTAAAACCACGAAATCCTAAACCGCGATTAGCTATCTCAAGGTTTGTAAATAAGCAGGCAAGTTTCTTTCTCATTATCTTATAGAGGACGCGAAGTCAACAGTCAATATTTTAGAATTAATATGTATTGCTATTTATTTTGTTCAATCAAAGCATTTTAAAATAGTCCCACTATGGGCCGAAGCTACTGTATTTTGCGAAACCTCCAACTCAAAACATCAAAACAAAAAATTCTGCCTTACTAAGGTCATTGAAACTGAACCTTTCTAAATTCGGCATTCAAGACATTCTTTCTAATGATGTAAGCAACTGTGTGTATTTTGCGTCAGGAGTCTTTTAAAATATTAGACTGAAAGAAATAAATGCGGTTACAATCAGATTGCAACTTAAATTGTCTTAAATGCTGTATATACTTCGTTTTATTCGAATTATCAAGCACTTATTGAGCGCGGCTAAATATTTCCTCAAATGCATATTAGGGAAATGTTATGGGAAATAACTGATATTTTATTGAAATGCCTAGGGTTGATCGACCAAAATAACAATGATTTAATAGTAAATCAAACAGCTACGGCGAACCTATAAATCTAAATTGAACACTTGCCTTTTTTAAGGACAATTTTTTCTTTGAACAATTCAGCCATCTTCATTGATTTTGACTTAACTGCCACAAAGTAATAAAAGTCCTACGCTTAAAAAAATACAGTGTAAGAAATCAGCATTTTTAGGCAATTTAACTTTTTTATGTTAGTAATTTGCACTTTAACACAAACAATGTGTTTTTTTGAACATGCACGATATCCGATAATTTCATAACTTGGATACGAATACTTTCGAGCGTAAGCTACGTGGATAACCGAGCTTTTTGACTACTCCGAATTGATTTTTATTAAGACAGTTTTTACTTTCTGTATATATGATGATCTTAGCTTTCTTCCCTGGTCTATAGTTTAATAGCTGAATATCTAATTCCATGGTGTTTCATTACTATTCTGTCTTCGGCGTTTACTCACTTTGTTTAATGTATGTTTAATGTGTCATAACTAAGGCATTTTTAAATTAATGGGGATTTATGTTAGCACCTTAAGTTTTAGGTGTGTGACAGACCTCAAATCAGTTTTCAAAAGTTAATGCGGCTAAATACTGGACAAAGTGGCTAATGTTAAGATTTTAGTAAATGTTTATTTAGGCATAAGCAGGAACTGACATTTTGTACTGCTGTAATTTTGGGTTATTTACTGGGACAATGAGTGCATATAAAGTCTTATGATGCGGAAAAAAACTGTATTTTTTTTTCATGGTTATTTAGGAAAATGGTTTCACGTTTTCTTAACGATGGTGAAATGGAGTACCTTACGGAAAGTTCGGTCGATATGGCAGAGTCGGATTCATGCGTTAGCGAAATGAATCCTAGACCTGCGCAAATGTGCACAGTTGGCGAGGATGAAATCCCGGTATTTGTTGAGGACTCATTCAACGCAAAGGTGGGCAATAATCCTGACCAACAAGAGCACAAACACTACAGCCCGCTTACGCCCAAGCCAAAAGGTGACGATTCAATCGAATTGCTACCACCACGACGCTACTCTTTGCCTGGAATTGTAAGTAAACGAAATAGCAAGTAATACTGCTACTGTGTTGATTACAATTTAATAATTGACTGGTTGTTTTTCATTTATGTTAGTGACTTAGACTTTGAGTAGTTTTTACTATACGTAACTGTATTTAATAGGCGGAGGAAGGCACAATGATGCCGGGGAACACAGCAAAAGGTTATCTTCTTCTTCGCCAAAAGTGTTCAGCGCAAAAGAAGGAGTTAATTAAACTGCGGGATAAGTTGCGTGCAGCTAACGAAAATTGCGTGGAGTTGGTTCAAGCTAAAGAACGTCTGCAGGCAGAACTGATTGCATCGGAGAAGGCACGAAGTCATCAAGCGACACTCTTGTCTCGTACCATCGTTGACAAGGAGGTCATCCAGTCTGAGGCCAAAGCTTGTGAGCAGGAGCTTGCCGATGTCGAGGAAAAGATTAAGGAGCTATCGCAAGATATCCATGCAAAGGAAACGAGGATTGCTGAGTTGGAAGGCAAGTAAAACCTTCATTGTGTCCACTTCACTGACAAACACAAGTGCGTGTTAAATTCCCATCTTGGACAGCCTATCAAGGACCACCATTGAGCCCATTGCTGCTACAATTAAGTACCGTTTTTTTGTTTTTAAAGATGAGCTACTCAACTGTCGAGATGCGCTCGAGAAATCTGAAGCAAAAATGGATGACTTGGGTGCGTCTTTTGAAGATTTTCTACGCGAAAGAGAAGAGCGACTACTTGCTAAATTGCAAGCTACTAATGATGAGGCTGAGGCTGAAAAGCGCCGTCTGATGAATGAGTTGGAATCACTCAGACTTTCTCACGAGGAGGATGTGCGGGTAAGAACTAGGAAGGAAATAGCCAGACAAGAAGCCGACGCAAGAACAATACTCCAATTGCAAAGAGACCTGGCGCAGTTGAAAGAGCAGCTTGAGGCTCAAAAGTAAATTAAAACCGTTCTAAACGAGAAGTCATTGCTTTCACCACTTTTACTAATCAACTAATTTGTTGCTATTTGTGCAGTGGAGAAATGAGCAACATGAAAGACCAGAATGAAAAGCTTATGGAGGAGCGCAATAGCCTGCAAAACACGACACAAGAAACAAGAACGCTCTTGGCCAAATTCGAGTCGGATGCTGCTAAGGAGAGGTCGAAGTCGGAGAAATTGGAGGCAGAACTGATCGCCTCTCGGATTGCCCTCGCGAATTCCGAGAGAGCAGCCCATGAATTAAGTCTGGAGAGGGACATTGCCTTGGAAAAAAATGAAAGCTCTGCCAAGCGCTTCGAGGCAATGCACGCAGAGATAGCTGAACTTAAAGCCATAATCCAGAACTCAAACCAGAAAATCAGTGGTATGTTTCCTACGCTAGCTCTTTAAGTAGCTGTGTTTTTGGCCCAATTTTGGGAATTTACGGAACTAGCAAGGTCTTGTTTCTGTTGTTAGTTCTTGAGGAAAATAACCGAGAATTTGAGAAAAGGAACGCGTCTCTTCAAAAACGACTTAAACAAGCAGAGGAGGAGAAGGACGAGGCCGAAGTGGAAACTAAACGCCTGGAGGACAAGATGACCACGATCAAGAAAGAAAAACACGACCTTGAAACTACACTTAAGGAGATGCGAGCTAGAATGGCCGACTTGGAACACAAGAACATGTCTGTGGATGGGGAGGTAAAGGAACTGCAGCTCTGCTTGGCCAGAACTGAAAAAGAGAGGTATGTAAAGCCATTTTTTTACAGAAAAGAATTTTTAACAAAATTTTCCCGCTCATTAAATTTTTATCGATTTTCTTCGCCGTAATTAAATTAAAATCCGTAGAATTGATTTTTCACGTCAGTCAATTCAAACGGCCCAATCAATTCAAACCTGAGTGCGATTGGTGGGATTAACTTATCGACTTGTTTTGGCGTAATTAAATTAAAATCCGTTGAATTGATTTTTTCCCGTCAGTCAGTTCAAACGGCCCAATCAAATCAAACCGTAGCGCGATTGGTGGGATTAACTTAAGGGAAATTTTTTTTGTTGCTGTAGGCAAGAGTCAAGGCTACGTGGTTCGGTGGCGATGACACTCTTCATACTGACATCTGCTCTAGTGATTATCTTTCCACTAACACAGACAATCTTCACTAATTAAAGCCCATTGCGACACCCTCCTGCCGCACTGTGTGATTTGCCGTCAATTTTGAATAAAACTTCGTTCCATAGCATAATCTTTTTCAGGGATAGCTTCGAATCGCGGCTGCTGTAAATGTCGTAATTGGTCGTTCGGATAAACCTGAAAATACGCAACACTGAAGCTAATCCCACCACACTGACGAGTCCCCTGTTTTTACTGCAATTTATTAAATTTCGTCTGAATTCGCGTGAAATCCCAGCAATGACTAGTTTGCGAAAAGTCCGGAATTTTTGCCCTATAGGATACGTGAAGGAATATCGGCATATTGTAATTTGTTTTTTTTTAACGACACCCAACTATTGCGGTTCTAAATAAGCAGAAAGCATTTCATTTGATTTTGGAAATTGTGTGCTTAGCGCCTCTTAGAGTTGATCAAATGAAAATGCTCGTTTTGGTTTTTTAAAAGAGAAAAATTCTAAATAAGTCACAAAAGCCAGAATTTTGGTTATGATTCACAACGACTGAGCATAGATATGGATGATACTGTCCATGAATTTCCTCCAGTCACCTATAAACACTGCTCATGTTCATTCATCAATAACGTGGTCGTGAAAATAGAGTGGCCTACCACTGATCTGCCCATGTAAACGATGATTGGTCAAACTTCCTCCCCGAAATCCAATTGGCTGATTGGTTGTGAGCGGGTCTAACATGTATTTCTCCCGGCAACGCTTAGGCTATTTCCTAGATGATATGCCATTTCCGTGAGTGTGGTATACCAATCTCTATACCAAAAATTACATAGGAATTAAGTGCTCTGTTTAACTTTGTCTCATTTTGCGTATTTAGAGAGGCCAATCAAGCCGCGTTGGTTGAGGGCCTTCGAATGGTTGGCATTCCCACCGCAGAGTGTCGAGAGACAGCAGCTCCGGTCACCCATAGAAAGTCCGACGAGAAGAACCCAGATCAAGGAGGCCGCTCGCGGTGGAAGCGCGGAGGATACGGTAAAGACGGCCATTTTTATTTGTCCGACTGTGTAGTTTTGGTGCATATCCAGTTTGTAAGCCCCCTTATTGGCTAACCATGTCTGAAATCTGATTGGTCAGCAGACAATGTACAAATAATGTGATTGATGCGGACCACGTCCTCTCTAATACTCACTTTGCCACGATTGGTATCTTTAGTGCTGAACTTCGCCAAAGCAGCTCAGTCGTTCCTGAACAAAATCATGTCATTGGAATCGGAGAACTCGAAGCTGCAGAGTCGATTGATGACTCAAGACGCGCACCTATCGGACCAGAGAGCACAGGCCACGTGCCTCAACGACACTCTTCTCAAACTGGAGGAACACCTGCGCAGGGCACGAGAAGGTAAGGGATTTGTGTTTGTCACAACGTCGACAGGTTGCCAATGATGATACTCCCTATTGTGAACCTACGTCGAGGCTATGATGGTGTGCGTAATCTTACTTGATTTTCCCCTTTCTTTGTGCAGAAAACAAGCAAATTTCGCTGGAATGCACCAAAGTGAAGAAGCAACTTGAAAGTCACAAGTTGGCTCTCTCTAAATACCGCGATGCCAAGCACGCATTGCAGGAGAAACTTGCCAGACGTGAAGAAATGTTGAAGCACGCAAGCACCGGGCCAAAAAACGATGTGGTGAGTTCTTCGAATCGTGTGTGATACTTATTCGGATGACATCATTTGTGCTATTGTAACCTTTAAATGTATTTTGTACGTATTTCGTTTCAGTAGTAATGTTTCTTGGTCTTAGGAATTCGACAAATACGCCAAACTGACAGTGAACTTTGAAAAGGCGAGAAGTGTTATCCAGGAACTCAATTCGAGGCAGAAATTACTGAAGGACCAGCTGGATGAAGCCAAGGCCGTTCTTGCTAAATATGATGTTGATTACAGAGGACCATCGGAAGTATGCAACGTCCCGCAACCGCGTCAACAAACTAAGGTGCCTTTGGTTATTTAAAACCTTCTCACAGTTTTTCGTAGTCTGACGTACAAGGGTCCTACAATGCTACGATATTAATTAATCACTAGCGTGCCATGACAAATAACCAATGAAAAACTTTCTCTGATGGACCAATCAAAAGTGCTCTGGTTTCGTAATGGCGTTGCTTTAGCTGCTAAAACTGGAGTGGTAGTCAATGGTTGTAGAAGAGAGCAGATTATTTTTCACTCGGCACGATAGTCAAAAGATACATTTCACACTAGGTGTTCGCTTAGTAACTGGTGTGGCCACGTCCGTGTGTCATTAAAAACATGACACAATTGATAACGCGGCAAAAAATTCAAACGGATTTTACAATTCTGCTTACGTCACCTCTAACATGATAAATTCACCGTTAGGCCACGAAAATTATTGTGTAGTGCGAGGTCGCAAGTGCAGGAGTTTCGACAAATGAACGGATTAGTCGGTAATACGAGTTGACCTCCGATTGCAAGGGTTGTTTCATTCCGATTAGTTAAAAATTGACCACAGTAAATGGTACTACCAGCTTAATTACTGAAGGTGCTAATGCTAATTTCGATTGTCCTGAAGGAACCAGAGCCCAAAAAACGCTCAACGTCTCTTTTCGCGAAAAAAGCTTCGGCCATTGTGACCGAGTCGCTAGACAGTGAGGGTCACCTGTGTGCGGAATCCTTCCGAACGCATCTTCGCAAGGCGCTGAATGTTTCTAACCTCAGAAGCCCTGATCGGTCACATCAAGTAAGTGACACCGAGGCCTTCTGTTTAACGACTTACAAAGCAAAAAAGTTCTAGCATTTGGGAAAATGGTTGAGAAATTCTGCTTCCTTGGGTGAGCAAATGATCATAAATCGGTAAAATGTAGATAAAAGGGTTGATGGAATGTTTGATTAGTCAGTTTGAAGTAGAACTGGACCACGTCCACTGTTATTGGTCGAGACTGAACCAATAACAAATCAAGCCTGTGTCGTATTGGTTAGCACTGATTCGTAGTAGCTTGTGAAGGACTGCACACAGTCGCCAGAGTTCCAACACGTGCGTTCTCTTATGAGTATCCCTACTGGTAATTTTAATTGGTTTCGACAGGAGCACGATCCACAGCCAAGAGAAAGATCAACCGTTCCAAGGTACAACGGCGACGGCGCCGACAACTACCAATGACGACCATCTCCGCGTCACCAATCTAGCGCGAGAGTGTGATTTCCCCGTCTCCGATTTTTCACTCCCCTCTCTTTGATTACACTCAATCTGACGTACAAACTGATTTGCTAATCTACTGATTCTTATATTCGACCGAGATTTACCAAAATACAATGCTTAATTACCAGTCTAGGTCTTCATTCGAGGGCCGGAACGACTAGAACGAACGCCCGTCTCGTAACCTAGGCCCCGTAATGCCAGGAAATTAACTATAACCCAAGGCTAATCAGTAATGCTAGCTGCTATTGACAAAGAACTTCTGTACAAAAACGCAGGTTGGAGGGAGGATTGATTGGGTGCAGAGGCGGGGAAGGGGCATTGCGTTGTTAGCGAGAGGTGGGACTTCCGCCATCCGGGTTTTTCGGGGGCGTTTCCTGGTCATGTCGAGTGCTTGCTGCCACCTCGAGACGCTCCTAAAGCACAGAAGTCAGGTGTTATTCAAGCCCACTCCCACCCCCTCCCCACCCCCAATTCACCGACAAACGGTGCAGATTGAAACATAGTTACGCGCCACCGCTAAATGCAGAGGCACTACGGGAGTATGACTTGAACTGTTACGTCGACAATACAACTTCGAAGCGTCCCAACTGAGGTCGTTAGAGCATTTTCGAGGGCGGCGTGATGCAGTCATTGGTGAATTAGGACGTTTATGAAAGAGGCGGTTGATTGGTTAACTGAAGTAAGGGGTACTTCAACAGGGGGGAGCGCTCTAGCATGGTACACTTCGATCAACTCTGTTTGCGAGTGTCACAAAAAAATTGAAATTTACTGCTCTGTTGAAGCCGTCTGCCTTAGTGTCGCCATTGGCCAATTAGGGGTCCGTTAGATTCACAGGCATGTCTTTGAGCGCACGGAAATCCAACCAATGAATTGATTCAAGCAGAGTCCGCTGATTTTTCCACTTCTACCATAGGTGACCCCGACGCTCTCACCTCCACACCTCAGACCACGCACTGACTAGCAAAGCCTGTACTGGCCAATCGAGCAATCAGCATTGCTCAGGAAAGCAAAAGCACCCACCTTATCAGTGTCCGGTTTGTCTTCGTCCATGGCATGACGTCGGACACGCCGGGACGCCGTCTCGCCGTCTCTGTCGTCCGGTTCGACGCGCTTGGTGGATGCGCGAGACGTGGAGTGGAGCAGTGGCGGCGAATAGGACTCCTCCTCCACCACCATCGGCTCGTTGAAGGCGGGCGCCTTCGGCTGGATGAGAACCTTGATTGCGCTGACGGATGGTTTGTCTGGAGAGCAACAGGTAAAACAGTCTGACATGCCGAAAACGACTGACTAATTGAATTAACAATTGGTCGCGTGTGATTAAGAGATCGTGCAAAGCGGTTCAATCACATTTTAAACAAGAACTACGCAAGAAGATCCACTCATGTTGTGTAAAAATTCGTCAAAATAAACCTGAATTACACAAACAAATTAGCACAAACAATGCTGTTCGTAATTCAATTATACGAAGAAGGATAACAAGGGGGGTCGCAAGAGCGAAATCACGCAATGTGTTTCGCTTGCCCTCGTCTAGACATCCTCACTTGGAAGAGCTACCCTCGTAGTTGTGCAGAAATGATCTACAGGAATAATTTAACATCTAGAAGATGACTTGAATGCAATCTGCAAGCTTAGCTACTTCAAATGATGCCTGGTTCCACGAGATCGTGAACTGCTTTATCAAAGTCCTGAAAAGTACCTCGTCCACGCCATGCTGTTAACCGGTTTTTGAAGACAACGTTGAATGCTTTTCCCGACAACCCTGTTATAGAAAACATAGATTTCCAACTCAGATTCGTGCTAACCATGACTGCCTGCATTCTCACCAGATTGTGGCGGGTAGTGGATTAAAATCGGAACGCGCCTGATTGCTAAGCGCTTGTACATGTCGAAATGAACTCGCATCCAACGTGGTTCGTGGCTAAAGAGGACGAGTATTCATCTTCCCCTACTTAGAGAACAAACAGGACGTCTATTGGCTTAGAATTGTGTGTTCCCGTGCTCTCCAATGGCTTTTTGCTATTGATAGACAATTAGGATTATGTTGCATTTATACGAGTACCTTCTTAAAATGATACTTGATCGTGAGATAATGCAGACTAGTGGCATCCAGGTTTTAAAAGAACACATGGGGGGAAAATTATCACCCATCATTTGCTATTCCACTCTTCATTCCTAACAGACTGCTGCAAGCAGCAGACAGGAATTGGAACGTGTCTCGTTACTAAACGCTGGTCTTTACTTAAGTCAAATCACTCGCATTTCCGGAACAACCACAAGAAGAGTCATCATCTACCATGTGATATTTTTGCCTGTTGTAGTTATGAGTTTGATCAGTGGACCTCGGGCGGTTAGGTAACTAGGCGGCCAAAGATAACTTCACGGCTATGAAGTGCAGTTCTGTGACGCGCGCCATTCGACCCATGCAAGCCGATCTGGCCTGCTCTTCGTCCTCCTCTCCCTTCCCGCACTATCCCCTTCCGACACACGAGTTTAGGATTTAGATGATAATGCTGATTGGACGAACAGATTTGTGCTGACTACCACAAAAATGGTCTCCTGTCTGACCTTTCTTGGCTAGATTCTTCCACGTCTGTGTTGTTTAATCAGTCGCTAACATACACACGTGCATACCTCCATTTCCAAAGGCAAAAAATGATAATTTAGTTGGACCTGTCTGGTTTGTGTCTGTAGGTAGTAATCCACACGTCTGAGAAGTTAACCCGTCAAACGTAAAAGGAGACTAACGGATGGATTTCATTCGATACCCGCATTCCCTTGACAACCTCGGAATTATCGTCTATCATGGGCTTTTGCTTTAGCATCAAAAAATTTCGGCCGAAAATGAATTCACAGACATGAAGCGCAGTTTTTAATTATGGCGAAAAACTTACTCGTAACAATGGACGGAGGCGACAGAGAATCCCCTGTGTACCTCTGGTTATCCTCCTCTTTCTCCTCATCACCGCCTTCTCGCGGTTCAAGCTTGGTGGTTTGCGGTCGATCGGAGAACGTCTTTTCCTTGAAAGACACGCACACACATCAAGAAAAGGTTTATCTTGCAGAGGAACGCCGTTTTCAATAAAACTCGGACACAAGAAAATGTTCAATGTTTTCACAAAAGTCTGGTTTATGGAACGACCGCCTGATTGCCGCTAATTCTCGCTTTCTTCTACTAGTATAGGTAGACCACAGAACACATATACCATTTGATGACTTACTGCTACGCACAATAGGTCTACCTACATCCGGATGACAACTCAATACAGATCAGGGCGATCCCGAACAAGCACAAATTGTGTAGAGGGACTAGCAGGCAACTTCACCTCAACTTCATCGCGGACGGGTGTGGCAGATCCAGACGAGAGCGGCGACGCGTCCGCCGTGTCTGCGTCCACTTCCTTCTTGACCTGCTCCGTGGGGGTTTTAACTGGCGTCGCGGAGGCGCTAGGAGTGGTCGTTGCGGCGGCAGGCGAGACGTCAGACGTCGTCGCCGTGGCTGGCTTCATCGGAGACGCCTCGCGTTCCAGAACATCGAAAACAGCTCGAGAGATGTGCGTCCGCTAGGATAGACACCAGAGGGTAAGACAGGTGCAGGCGCCGAGGTTGGTCCATCACTGGCGGGAAATCGGGCTTACCTGAGCCGAGGAGAAGTTGTCCACGTAGCGCCGCACCTGTGCCCTCAACGTGGGCTCCTTGGCAAAAACTGACTGCAGCTGCTGCGGCGGAAGCTGCAGCAACACCTGGTAGCTCTGAGGCTGGGTCTTCACACAGCACCGGATGAAACCGTCCCACAGCACCGCACTCTTCCACACCTTGGAGAAGCAAAAAACAGAAGCAGTAAATCAACAGTAGTGACTTTGGATGTGGACGCCGCAGGAGCACGCACCTGTTTCTGAATGAGCCGGAAGAGGACGTTGATGACGTAGCCGGCGAGACGAGGGTAGAGGGCCAAGGCTTGCATGACGGTGCGAATGAAGAGCGTCGGCAGAACTGGACGATCGAGGAGTTGTCCGATGGCCGCAGACAAGCGCTCCTGGGTGTAGAGTTGACGCTCGGCGAAGCAGTGCAGACAGGCTTGCAGGATTACGCGTATTTCTATGTAGGGCTTGGCTGTTGGGATGGGGAAAAGGCGACTCAATGAGGAGAAGGAGGTGGAGGAAAGAGGCTTTCCGTGGTTAGTTGACGACTCACCTGGAGTGTCACTCGGGGGCAAATTAGGGTCCTTGGCGAATTCAAGGAGATGGATGGCTACCAGGAGCTCCTCGGGAGTCACTGGTCCCACGACCGATTCGTTCGGCACAGGCACCAGTTCGGGGTGACGGGGGTCCGGCGCAGGAAGCGTCGCCACGCTCGCTGAAGTGGAGACGCGTGAATTTATCAAACAGTAAATCGGTAACGAGATTGTTCTGAGTGGCGGGGGAGGGGAGGGAGGTGCTCACCATGAAGAAGACGACTGATGACCTCCTTGAGGACCTTTTCATTCAGCTGCACCAACTTGGGCAGGGCCGAGATGACCTCCTGTTTGGTGAGACCGACGATCACCGGTATGAGACATCGCACATCGTGAACCCGCGTCATGTACATCCGTCGGACGCTCTCAACCAACGCTGGCGGAGGCATGACAGGGAAGTTCGGGTGTGATGTGGACCTGCCCGCCGACACTGTCGTTGTGGGTTTAGTCGGCAGGTGTGAAAACGCCGTCCTTGGATCTGTGAGGATGTGGATCATGCGGGTGACGAGGGTCTCCGCGCCCACGGGACAATTATCGATCAGGTGGAGGAGGTGCGGGGAGTGGAGACCGATTTCGCAAATCTGCCAATGAGAACACACCGCAATTACCGAGTCGTATACAACCGCAACGAAGTGGATTCAAGTAGGGGATTGCCATGTTGGTGACAGGGGACACACGTGCATAGTCAAGAGGGGAAATAAGCACTTGCCGAAGTGTCCACTAGGCGAAGAAGCGAACGTCTCACACTGTCGCACGCGCCGACATACACCTCCGCCAGCCTAAAAAGATCAATAACGAGCGACTTTAACAGGTCCACAACACCTGGAAACAGCCTTCGAACCAATTTCTGAGGAAATCAAGGTTCCAGCCATGACGAAATATGCAAAGAGACGCGGCGGAGTTTACGGAGAAACACGTCTAGGTTTGTGGAGCTAACAGAGTCAAGGTCACACTCAGTAACCAATCAGACTAGTTGGCGTTGCGAGGTCAGCATAACGGTTAAAATATAGCCCGGGAAGTAAGGAATGCGTGTATTTTCATGGAAAAGTGACGAGGTCGCTTACGTGAGAAGCAGTTTGCCGGGATTGCGTGGCATCAGCCCCAGCAGTAGGTGGGCACACGCCTGGCAGGCCTCGTCCGTCCACTGCGGGGTGATTGTGGGCTTCGTCAGGAGTGTGGCAAACATCTCCGCAGTTGGGTGGGGGCTGAGGACATTCTTCAGCTGCGCGGTTGCATGATCCTGCAAGGCAATACACCACTTCCACGCGTCAAGTCCCCAACACTCGTTACCGAATCGACGCTCCCTTACATTAACTTTGGCGATGTTTTAAACACGAAGTCTGTGAATCGCAAGAAAAATTATCGCAGCGTCAATTTTTTTAGCCGAATCCACGAAAATGAGAGCGAAATAAGCCCGAAGGAGGGGCGGAACGGCAGTGTGAAGATTGGACAGCCAGGTGAAACAGAAACTTCGACTTATTGTGCGTCAAATTCGCCAGATTTGCTTTGCAAGAAAACGGTTTGGGCGAGCAGCGTTGAGATACACGATCTTGTCGTGAATGGTGTTTATTCACACCCCTTAATCCGGTCGCTCCAGCCTCCGACACAGGGTTCCCCTTGTCGCAGCATGTCGCCAGCCCCGCGGATCCTCAACTCCCCCCTCATTCACACGAGTACTTGTCTTGGATTAGCCTTACACCTAGGTCTCGATGTTAGCCCATGTGTGACTCACACATCCGAGGTATAAACACACACGCGCAAACCCCATACAACGACATAACGACACCAGTTTTGGTTGAGCTATGAAGCAAACGGTTGTGTCCACGTCCACTCTGATCTTCTTCATCGCGGGTATCAGGGAAGCGTAATCGGGCCAGGTTTAACTCCGTGACCCCGGCGTGGTTCAAGGCCACATGCTGGGGCCTTGAACGATCCAATGACATTGCCTTGTCGACATCTTTTGTCCAGAACTCAGTTTCACGAGTCAAATAACCTACGATTTGGTTTCCTCTTCGACTCAGAAGCTCACATGGACCAGACAACGCGGATTCGATCAAAAAGTGTAAAAATCATTTGCTCACGACCAAACATTTGTCGTGGGCCCCAGCAGGTGGTCCTTGAACCACGCCGGGGCCACGGAATTAACCCTGGCGCGATTAGGCTTGCCTGATACCCGCGATGAAGGAAAAAGGCCGGAGAGGACGGACACAAGCGTTTGCTTCAGAGGTCAACCACGTTGGTGTCGTTGTGTTGTGTGTGGGGTTTGTGCGTGCGTGTTTCTACCTCGGGTGTGTGAGTCATACATGCGTCAACATCGAGACCTACGCGTGGTGACACTCCAAGATAAATATTCGGGCTAATGCAGGGGGATTTGAGGATTAGAGCGGCTGGCGACATGCTGCGACAAGGGGAACCCTGTGTAGGAGGTGGAGCGACCGGATTAGGGGGTTGAATAAACCGGATTCACGACATATTACAACGGAACACACTCAGGCACACCCCACAATAATAACAACAAACCTGGCGATGTCGCGTTACCGTTATCACGGTACTGTTGAGAATTTAAAGACGATAGCCAATAAACCACGAACACAAGGCAACACGATAGACCAATCAAAGCAAACCGAACGAAACCGACCTCGATCAGTTTCTCCCACTTGGCTTGTGAATCGGCCAATTGGCAGGTGGCCTTGAGAGCCGCTTTGCGGATCTTGTGTTCTTCGATTGAGCAGAAACTGAGGAGGAGATCGAGCAGCTCCTTTCGCTGGTCGGTTTGTCGCAGTTCTATCAAGGAGCGAAGCACCTACAAAAGCAGTTGCGAAAAACGCACTACTTATAACTTTGTAAGTACCAATGACCAAGTTTCGTCGGATTGGGGAGAGTTGGCTGACCTGGAAGCCGAAGGGCGCCTGTTCGGGCACAGTGCAGTAGCGCTTCAAGACTGCCATCGAGTTCGGCGTCAACAGCGGGGCCTCCAGCATAAAACGTCCGAAGTAGCTTTAGAACAAGCAGATAGATAGAAGTTGATAACTCACATCGACGACACACAATTATGCTACTGAATTGCACACATAAGTAGTAACCGACTAATTTTGTTAACACCGCACGAACACCAGAACCGTGGTCGTGGAGCTTACAGACCGGTTATAAGGGAAACACTGTCACAGCGCCACATTTGAGTGAACAAATAGGTCAAAATCTATACAAACTCGAAGATATTGCGTTGGGTGACCTTCGTGGTGGTAAAACTAACCCAAATTCGGAGCCATATTTATGGGAACCCTCTAAGTGCCTTAGACGTGGCTACTGCAAAAGCACATGACGCTACACAACCAAACTATCACTTCTTTCAGCAGTTGGTTCGTGTTTGAGACGGGGATTGAACATGTTCTGGAGAGCCAGATGACCAACGTCGACGAGGTACTTACGTCTCCTTGATCTCGACGTCGGACAGTCGATTCAGGATGTCCGTGAGCACGGCGTCGTAGAAGGCGAAGGAGCTGAGCTCTTCGCACAAGACGCCGCCGCCGCCGCCGCCGCCGCGAACGCCTCCCACGGCGGCCAACGGCGGTTTCGTTTCGCCCGATACAGACGCGGACGGGGAGGCAGCGCGCTCCTCGGCGTCCGACTTGCCCTCCTCCTCCTCGTCGTCGTCGGCGGCGCACACCCTGGCCTGCAGGGCACGCAGCTGGCGCTGCGACTCCAGCAGGAGGCGGGTCTCGTCGGTGTCGTCGGACTTTTGGGTCGTGATATCGTCGCCCAGAGCTCCAGCCACCATGAAGCCACGGAAGTAGGAGTAGACATGCATCAGCAGGTTCGTCAGGAGTTCGAAGCCCTCTTTGAGATTCTGCATCGCGTGGTTGATGAGAACTGAAAGGGGATTGGTCCAGTGTAAGAGCCGGAACGCACTAGGATGTGCTACATGATTTCAGTTGTCAATCACACGTTCGCCACAAAACTGTCTCCCAGTCTAGACAAACCACAGCCCAGACGGACCAAATAGGAAGGAGTGGTGGGGGTACGCACGGGGAAAGAGGTCACCGGAGCCGAAACGCTTGCTCGGCAGCCGGCAGAGCAGCTTGATGCGCGCGGCGTCCTGCGCGGGTAAATCCGGGTGTCCGGCGGTTTTCAGGGACTCCTCCGAGACAGGGGCGCGGTTTCGCGCGACGTCCTCGCACAGGATTCGCAGGTACGCATCCCGTGCGAGGGATCGCTGCGATTCAATAGGCAGTGCTGTGATCACAGCTTCCAGTGAAAACGGACGAGCTGGGGTGACGTGATGCGGGGCTGCAAATAACGGGGAAATTATTAGCCAATAGCATTACAGAAATTATTAGCCAATAGCATTACAGAATGTTCATATCCCACGATATGCAACTCTTAGGACCGGATTGTCGGAACACGTACTCGATATAGGGGGCTTGGTAGGACCAGTAAAGAGTGGTGGAGGCACAGTAGGGTTGAAGAGGGGTGTAGGGGGTCCAGCAGTGGGAGACATCAGAAGGCCCCCTCCAGCGTCCCCCACGGAGCCTGAGCGACCAACAACGCTGATGTTCATTGGTTTGGCGGTGTTGTGAACTCGGGCAGCGTGTTCTTTCATGAATGCAACCTCGTCATCTTCATCAACCTTAGTTTTCCTCGACTGAGAAGAAAAATCAATAACGAATTACGATAACCGGAGGCAAAAGAATAGAAGAAGAGGACCAGTTTCGAAGTTAACGTACTCGGCTGCCAGACTTTTTGGTCGCTGACGCGTCGGCGTCTGCATTGGGCGATTCCTCCAGCAGCTGAGCAAGAAGACTCCGATTCTCCTTATTGATCCCCTTGTCGTCTTCTCCGGTAACCCAGACAACCAGTTGAGCTGCGAGAAGACGGGCTAGGTGACGAACCTGTGTGGCAGTGCCTGCCGCAGCGATGGGTGTGTACGTCGCGTTGAACGCCGCTGGCATACGACCTGGAAGGGTGACCATGCTGAAGACAGATGAAGATGGGATGGCACTTAGGGCAAGTTTAACTGGCAAACCGAGTAAAACGGGCGTTCGATTCACGGTAACAGGCTCTGAAGTCAACCGACCATTCGACAGTAGCCACTCACCTTAGTAAGACAAGGTCTGCTACATTGGCAGGCGTTAACTTGGATACCAGCGCGCCGGTGACGTCCTCAATGCTGGGGACACCATCAGCTGATGCTGCAGTCTGTTTTTTGGGCTTCTTGGACAGTGGTGGCCGGAGCAGAGAGGAGCCCGAGAATCGATTTCTCTCATCTGTGGAGGTAGACGAGGTGCGCGACTTGCCTCCTTCGTCGTCTTCATCGTCTTCCTCTTCACCGAAATTACCGAATGCGGAGGCCTTGGAAGAATGGAAAAAACCGATGAACTTCACGACCAAACCAGGAAAAAATACAGAATAGGGCTTTGTTTTTGACGGCAAACACAGGGTGGCTAGCTGAAGAAATTCCGACCATGGATAAAAGATGTACACGAAGCCAATTACCTCGGATTGATGAGGTCGTTTCAAGCCTTCAACACCCGCACGCAACTGGTCCTCAGGTCGGGCTGACGGTGACTTCTCGAAATTATGCTCGTCTTGAAAGTCATTGCTTGTTTTGAGTCTTGACGACGACGACGACAACGGTGGCGGAGGTGACGATATGCCAAGGACCCCAGAAATCTAAATTATTTACAAAAACCATGACTTAACGGGTCACTCTGGCACCAGAAACCATATGTTAATGGAAGGAGGACTAACTTCCTGCTGGGTGACTCCCAAATCGGAAAGAAGAATCATAATTCGACTTCGGAATTCGGAAGTCGTCGCGGGGTGGCGCAGAAGACAGATAAGTGCAGACTTCAACTTCTGACGAGCCGAGCCGACCTGAGTTTGGGTAAAATGAGGCGGCAGGTTCACTAGAAAGCACACAAAACCGAGGGCGTAAGGTTTCAGAAAATAACGCCGGGGAAACTGATGAGGCAGCGGACTTACCGTGGATGGTTTCAAAGGCCTGAAGAGCTCTGTCGAAAAATTGGGGACGCTGTCTGGCAATACTAATCAGAGAATCAACAATAGCATCAAAAACGGGGCTGGTTACAACCGAGCGCAGAGCGTTTTCATCGCCTTGTTTGAGTGGAAGGTTAGCCAGACCGTTAACAAGCCGTTCGGCTTCATCTGCCAAGCGACGCGGACGCACGAGACAAATACCTGGCAGCTGTGTAGCTGACGATGCTGCTGTGCTTGAATCGATGATGGTTTTCAGAAGACTATTGGGCATGTCAGGAATCTGGTCCAGTGTTATTTCCTTCGTTTTAGCAAGGACCACAGACATTGGAGTCCTCCTGGACTGCTGAACGATTACGACCTACGAACCGGGGATTAAAGTCACGTGACTTCAAATTACTTCAATAAATTTAATGATATCTGCTCGTGCGGCATCGCTGATGTTTGCACAAAGTCGGTTTAACGTGGCAGGAGGTAAAGTGGAACTTCCGGGTATGACTGGCACGCTCGAAGGCAGAAGAAGTCGAATTACTTCGTCCTTAAAAGCAATGACAGACCGAAAAGTCTCGAGAGAGGTGTCGGCCAGAGAACCAGACTGGATTCCGCCTCCCGTCACGGCGCCCGATTCAATAAAGCCTGATTTGACAGCACGAGTTAGAGCACGGGAGTAGAGGGGGCCAAGGGTGGCAATAACCGAACGCAGGAGGTTTGAATAAGGTGGTTCGGAGTGCAGAGCAATATTAAATAGGTGAGAAAGACAGCCAATTGATTTCTGGATAAAGCTTGCGTCTATTAGACTATGGAAACAAGGAAAAGCGAAATCAGACGAAATTGCACAGGGGAAGAACAAAAAGCTGGACAAAAAGCCAACTCACCAAGCATCCTCGATAAACTTTATGATAAATTTCCGCACTTCTGTATTTGCATAATGTTGAAAGGCTACAACTTCCTACACCACAACTCCAATAAAGGTACGGAAATAACACACCTCAAAAAAGCTATCCAACAGAGACCTATCATGACTAATTATTAACTCCCTGACTTTACGAAGACAATCAAGCCTTTCCTGTGTGTCCCTTGCATACGAGGCAGTTCGAAGAATTCCAGCAACCTAACTGGTAAAAAAATTAAGGCACAAACCCTCTCGAACTGATTGCTAGTCATCACATACGAAATTTAAAGTTGCAGTGTCGTGTGGTTTGGCGACGGAATAGGGCGCAGACATGTTGGACCACCTGGCGCAGCCAATCCTGTGTCCCTCTGCGTTCCAATGGCATGCGAGGAAGCAGCCAACCAGAGAAGGACACGACTGCGAAGCAGTATATAATGAGCGGCGTGGCCAGAATCGAGGACTCGGATGGGAGGCGCCTGACGTGCGGCTCTGGCTTCTGATTGGTCAATAAAGCATGTTCTGTTGTACCAGTCTTCTTCCTATCAGAGCTCGGGTATTCTACAGTGCAGACGTATAAGGGCGCAGACATATTGGACCACTCCGGCTTCACCAAATCCCCTGTCTCTCCGCATTACAAAGGCATGCGAGGAAGATAGTCAGCCAACCAGAGAAAGACATGAATGAGGAGCAGCATATAATGAGCGGCTTGGAGAGCGTGTGGTTTTGGCTTGTCATTGGTCAATAAAGCCTGCTCCGTTGCGGCAGACTTGTTCATACCAGGGCTCGGGCGTTCTACATTGGTGTCAGCATGTGCGTTCAAATAAGGCGAATCGAACAATAGCCGTTGCCCTAAACTGGACAACAGAGGCAAAGACCCTCAAATGCCAATTAAAGTTGTCATGACGGGTCATCCCATTTTGCATGCACTGGATATAGAGACATTGACCGGAACTGGGTCAACTGCATCTGAAAAGGCATTCAAAATCTTAGCATTGAAGACAAGGACAGCAGAAGCCAGTTGGAATGCAAGTGAACAATTAACCTGCAATGGTTGAAGCGGCCTTCCTCCAAGTCAACAGGAGCAAAGTCCCTCGTCTACTAATCGCATGACCCACTATCCTGCGAGATGTTGGGTATCGGGGAAGGTTGAAATGGGGGCTTTATAAATAAGTTCCGACGGATCTCATTAAACGGGTCACATCAAGGATGATGAATTAGATTTAAAAAAATACATTTTCAATTAATCTATGTTTTCCCGTTAGCTTAAAACAAAAAGTCTGAATCAACGATTTCGTATGTACTTTCAGTTCCATTATGGCACCTGTTGAATAATGTGTGCTGGTTTGACTTCATAAGCACCTTCAGTAAAACTCTTAGGGCTGTTTTATACTAATGATCACGAAGATAAGGTGTCTGTGATCGATATACGAAAATAGATGAGAGTGAGTTACGGGCAGTAGTCGATGTCAGGAAAGCCTCAATAGTGTGATGATGCCGAGCCACGTGCTCCTCCGTTCAGATACTCCTTCAAAAATTCAACTGCATACCTGGAGAAAAATGAATACATTATCAAGGCTTAAGATAGTAATTGATGTATTAAAATTAATGTCAAGACTCCTCCAATTACGGTAGACACGTTTTGTGAAATCTGTTCTATTCCATTCAGTTATGCAATTTTATTGCCCATTCATGCTTATTTGTTGATGCTTGATTCGATCTGTGCTCCAAACATTACTTTCAAGCGCTAAAACCAGTGACCAAGAAAAAGCATTCATTTTCGATAAGCACACATTAATAATCTAGATTTGTTGGAGGCAAATATTGCTCTTTCATTTCAAATGATTTCAATTGCTCACACTGCTTAATCTCACAAATCATGTTTGGAAAGTGTCGTCAAAATAGAACCTTTTTTGTTATATATGTCCTTTCTTCCCTAAACGACTTTTCATACAATATGCTTGCATTTGTACTCACTACGAAGGTAGAGCATACATCTGCATCTTCGTATTCTAAATGCAAATAATCACCAATTGATTTGCTTCTTCCAATGGCGATATGCATGTGAAACCAGTAAGCCCATGATTTGGAATTTAAACTTTTGAAATATCTGTGAATTAAAAATGACAATCTGAATAATCATGTAAATTATGCTTACGGACAGGAGACTTTTTATGGGACTTGCATACTCCGATTTTATTTGTTGAACCTACTGATAGAAGGAGGTCCGGACGGGGATACACATCAGAAACTTGATGCTTCACGAGTTTTAACAAGTCAGCTACGTCAATGCCTTCACTGATTCAGGAAATCATAATTGTTCAGGTCCAGAAGCCTGTCAGCAATGACTGAATCATGAATGGATGGTGTAGATTATGTTCCAACTAAAGATGAAGCTCATCATGTGGTGGATACGTATATGCAGACCCAAAAGTACCAATGTCTCACCCTTTTATTTTTCGCTATTGTTAGCATTCCCCCGTTATGCACGCAGGTTTGGCACGTTGGAGTGTTAAGTTAGTGCTCCACACAAGTTGCCACATTTGGTGAACCCGACGAGATGTAACCGATTTGTATTTCACTCGGTTGATTAGTGATATCAGTCGACTTTTTCGTAACTCTTCTCTGTTAGCTATGAGAGATTCCATAGCTCCAAACCTCTGTTCGGAAAACAGCATTTCAGTCAACTTTCTCTCGTACTGCCGCAAAACTCGAATTTGGATTGAGCTAACTGAGGCCCACTTTCGCAATCAGATGATTTCCATGCTAGTTCAAAAAACATTTAGTTTTATACGTGGCTGCACAGAGATGTTGTTACAGATGTCAGTGACTTGCTCGGATCAATGCATTCTGGAAACCCCTATGAAAAGTTGAAAGCTACTGTTGTCACACGCTTGGTCAACTTGAACAAGACCCATTCTCGACACCTGCTTTCTGCTATCGAACTAGTTGACAGGTCTCCTACTCAACTCCTTCGGCATATACGCCACCTTGTCGAGGATATCAAGGTTAGTGAATTCGTTCTACGCCAAATGTAGAGTAAAACTCTCTTGGCACACATGAACACAATTGCCACGTCCCAAAGCTCTAGCGTACATTTGGATAAGCTTACAGAAATGGCTGATAATACCCACGAGTGTCTCACCCACGAAGCGGAAAATAGAACAATCTCCTCTGGTGCAGCAGCAAACAGACTGCTAACTACCCACTGAGATTGGACGAAGAATCATCTAGAAAACCTAACCAACGTCAGCGCTCCAC